CAGTTGTTTCCGAATCTAGGGGATGGTGCTCCTGTTTTTCAGCTGAGGGAGGCAGCATTGCATTGTCCAAAGACATTTCTGTGGTCATGACTGTATCCTAAGGTGCACGGAACATGATACACAGCTGGAAAACTGCACTGCAACCCAGGAGAGAAGGTCCATTTTAGTTCATTCAGCTGTCAAAACTGCTGAAAGGGATTCTTGGGTCCCTTTTCTCCATTTAAAGCCTGCCACAGCATCTGAGACCCAGCATGGGAACAACACAGGAGTGAGACAGGAAACCACACCCAGAAGCCACTGAGCCCAATTCCACTCATGGAAACTCTATTGAGGATACCAAGCTTAGATTTATAAGATTATCAAAATTCAGAAAAGGGTTTTCATCTGCTTATTATTTTCTCAGGGTTGGCAGAATGGAGGAAGAATTTATGGTTTCAATTTCTTCATTGTATTGTACATGCCTTAAATTTATCTGAATGCTAAATGTGGTCTTTTCACCCAAAATATGCTTTAGAGAAGGATTTTGTTAGCACCACTTCAGGGATGGGAATATCGATCACCTTCCACCTTCAGTAACTGCGGTGCATCTGGACCATGAGTGGGGTCCCAGAATGGTCCATGCATCAACATTCTTCTTGCCAAATGATAAAATACTTACCCGGTTACATAATGGCAGCTATGAGGAACTGAAATAATATAGAAGATTTGCTCTCTAATAGCATACTCACAAATAGTCCCATGTTGCGAATAAATAAATGCCTGCATTGATACTAGTGTGAGGTAGTTGACACTGCTTATATGATGAACTTTTGTTAATGATAAACAATATTGGAAGAATATCATATATCATCACATATCAAGAAAAAAAGGCATGAGCTCCATAAATAAGCTAAATATTTATAATCCTTTTTTTAAAAAAAATCATACATCCAAATCCTATAACGTTGTTCTTTCAGTCTTTTTATTTTTCCAAGTCCATCACTTGATTTTTGGTCTAGATCAAGTTTATTCTTTGTACCTCTCAGCTCTTGTGTACGAACTACAATCAATTTGTGTTTGAGAAGAAAATTCTTCATTTTTTCTATAGAAATTTTCTATAGAATCTAAATCTTTTCTTCATATGTCAAGGCCACCCCTTCCAATTTATCCCACCAGAATGGAATCTTTTTTTTTTAATCTTTCTTTCTTTTTTAAGTTATCTGTCAGAAAGGCATAGGATTTTTTCTTCAAGCTTCTGCCAGGAATTTTTTTCAGGATAATTATATTATCTTCAGTTTAGTCTTAAAATGGCAATCCAGAACTTGATCTCTTATTCTTCTTGTTACAAAATAAATCAATGCATCTCTTTGGACTTTTCTAATTGCAGCATAGTGGGGGTTTATTCTATAAATTTTGTCCATTTATCCTTTCTTCTGACAACTCAGTAGTTGCGCCAAGGATCAAACCATCTTATTATTTATATTTTCTGCAACATCTTCTGGAATAACATGAAACCGTAGCTGCAATTCTGTTCCATCAAGGCAAAAGTATTTATATCACCTTCATACTGTTCATCTCTGTGCCCAGAAAGCCCACTTTCTTATTTATCTGTTCCAGAAAGCCCACTTTCTCCCATCATTTGATGTAATCTCTTTGCAAAGTTGTTTGGTTATATTTTCTATTTTTGTCTCCACTGCTTGTATTGTTTTAACATAGTTCTCATAAGGTTTAATTCACCTGATTTTCTTTGTTCCTGCAGTTTGTCTCTTGTCATTCTTAGATTTAATTTTTATTAAATTTAATAAAATAGTATTTATGCCCAATGTTTTAAAAATGTTTTATTTCATATTACACTGGATCAAAAAATCAATATTTTGTTTATTTAGTATTCTCTTTTATTCTGAACAGTCTTGATAGTCTTTGGCTCCCTCCAATAATAAAAACAGTAAATCCTATGCAAAATCTTTTTAGCAATGTTTTAAGTACTATAGCCTTTGGGTCCCTCTTGTGGAAAATATTAATTCTATTACGTTCACCAACTTTCTATTAAAAGTTCTGTTAAAAGTTAATCTTTGCTTCCTCTTGTGGCTAATATTGAAATAATACTTAAATACAATGAAGCAAGGGCAAAACAGTTTTCTTCTTAATCAATCATATCAAGTTTTTGTTGGAAAGCCTCATACTCCCTCAAAACAGTTTATAAATCCCCCCAAAAGCAGGCAAAATTAGGCAGAAAAACTAAACAAAAATCACTCAGCTGACAAAAATAAAAATTTACAGCCATAAGTTTCCAGTTAATCTAGAAAAGAATGTGTTTATGTGTCCTCATTTATTTATCAGAAAGCATTTTGTTGGAATACATGTTGGAATGTATTATGTGCAACAACTACAGCAGTATTCAGTTTATAAGTTTGCTAGGTATCATCTATGATATATACTCTATGGTCCTTTTGTTCTGAGGATTTTCCTGTTACAGTTAAAACAGTTAAGCAGCAATGTCATGGTGACTGTACATTTTATTTAATATGTAGAACTATAGGGCTATATATAAACAGAATTTCTAACACATTTCAACATAATGCTGCTGTTTATGATTCATCATTACTATCATTGCAACTACTGTGGATTTTAGGTGCATTGATTCAATAACTATTGCAGTATTATGCACCTTGGACTAATATGACGATACAGATAAAGAAATGTTTAGAATTTAGAACATTTTATTCATCCAAAGCCAATAAAATTTATCCACCCCAGAACAAATAAAGTTCATCCATGGGAAGAGAGTCCTACTTTAAGTGAGCAAGACTTTGCCAAGATAGGACATTAAGGTATTGCTTCATCCTTGGCCCTCTGATCATCTGAGCCTCATAAATAAATTTAATCAGTTCACATTGTGAACAATGCAACAGTATTCCTACGGAATATTTGTTTAAGAAAATCAGAGAGCATAAATAAAATCCACAGGGACCTTACATAAAATAGCAAAATAAAGTTGCATTCCATTTCAGCTGCAATAAAGGTAATATTCAGATTTTGTGTACCATAAGATTAAAGAATGTATTATTTATTGTCCTTTTTATATAACCAGATGTTGACAGTTAATAGTGTTTGGGTCAAAAATGTACTTTTATAGAGTATGAAAGCTTCTGACAGTAGTGGAAACTTCATTCCTATTTTTTTTCTTTCTGGATTGCGGATGATTGGCCCAAAGTCACCCAGCTGGCCTGTTCCTAGTCTGATGCTTTAACAACTACAGCAAACTGGCCTTCAAATATACATGGTTGTGTCTGTGAGCATTTGTACATTTGTGTGAATGTAACACGGAATCATGGAATGTAAAAAGTGGAAGTGGTTTTTGAGCTCATCCAATCCATCTCCATACCTACTGCCAAGAATTGTTATTGCAACTTTACTGAAGATGGCCCTTCATCTTGTTTAAACCTCTTCAAGCAAAGAAAATTTAATTACCTTCAAATGTCACCTGTCCTACTGTTGAACAGCTCTTATCATGAGGATTTCTTTTTTTCTGATGCCCAATGATAATCTACTTTCTTGTAATTTTAATGTGCCATTCCTCATCTTGCCTTCTGGAACAATTCTTTCCTGTATTCTATACAACAATCGTTTAAAAGATGAAGACAGGTATCATGTTCCCTGCAATCTTCTCCTTGCCCAGTTACATGAGAGCAACTCTTACAATTGTCCAATTCAAGATCAATATTGCATGAGAAGTTTATATCAACAGTACAAGAACCTAGTAAGGCATTTAGAGGATTATTTCCTTCAACTTTATGGAAAAAACAAGAAGATGCTTGATTAAATGATGTGAAAGGTTTGGCCTTAAAGTGGCAATGTAATCATCTATTTAGGGATCCACAGCTTTCTGTATTATCTTCTAGCTCTGTCATTTACAAAAAAAAAAAAAGCAAACCTCCCTTTCCAAATCTTGTTAAAACTAGGAATGGGCTATAAATAAAGGCAAAGAGATGCCAGCACAGTTTCCTTGCATCTTCAGTTCTGATTTAGATAGTCAAAGCAAGAAAATAAGAAATATGAGTTATCCATTAAGGATGTCATATATCAATTAGCATCTTTCTCCCACATTCATGTTCTTCTCTTAAATTTTCTTCCTCCTGAGCTATGTCTTTTCTATTTTCTTTTCATATCCATCTTATTTGAGAGGTATTTCCAACTAGCTCCAGCTACTAGACCAGCGGTTCTCAACCTGTGGGTCAGGACCCCATTTGGGGTCGAACGACCATTTCACAGGGGTCGCCAAACAACGCAGTCCGCCATTTTTTCCCCTTTTCCTTAGCTGTGCTACTCCCTTTTATTCTATTGGCTTTTGAAAGCCAATAGAATAGACTCTCTTGAATAGAGTCTAATTCTATTGGCTTTCAGAAGCCAATAGGAATTGTCCAGGCTGTCTCTGCCCTTCTGAGCCCGCCAAAAGTCCCATTCTGCAAACGGTGCTGCACCAGTTGAATAGTCCTCGACTTACGACCGGTTGAGTAGTTCTCGACTTACAACCAGTTGGGGGTTGCGGCATTAAAAAGGTTGAGAACCACTGTACTAGACGATTCAACAAATCAGGTCCATATTTATTTTCCAGTACCGTAAATGCCGGCGTACAAGGCGACCCGGCATATAAGACAACCCCCGTCTTTATAGCCGGGCCGCATTCCTAGAACGTCGTCTTATACGCCGGAAACTACCAGTATTTCCGGCGTATAAGACGACCCGGCGTATAAGACGATCCCCGTCTTTGGCGCCGATTTCAGCGCTCGCGGAAGTCGCCTTATACGCCGGCATTTACGGTAATCGAGACTGGATAATTCCACATCCTCTTTCAACTGAAGATTTGCCATAGTTGAAAAGAAAAAAGATCTCTCTGGAGGCGAGAGAGGTTGGCCCTTAGCTCTTACAGTTAAAAGGAAACCCAAGGTCTTCCCCACTTGTACATTTTTCTCTTATAACTGATATTAAATGAGCAAAATTAAATAAGAGGGAATCCCAAATCACCACCTTGATCATTTATTATTGTAAATACGGCATTTGTATCTTTGAGAAACAATGACTATTCATAATAGTAGCAACTTACAACAGCACAAAAGCAGACGCACATCTTTTGACTCATTTTGCTAAAGAAACACAGGGAGAGTAATACCATTACTTTCTTTTATGAAGGAAGAAGACTGGTTTTGTTAGACTTTCTTTCTTCTCAAGCTAGACTTTCTTTCAATTGCAATGGCTAAAATGTTTTATTTTTGTGGCCTCCCACTGAGAATTGCAAAGGGTTGCAATACATAAACATACACATTACAACCTTATTAATTCAACAGGGCCCTCTGATGTTGCGATTGCTGGTTGGTGCTCATCTGACTTTTGTTTTAAATTGTCCTAGACCAGACATGTCAAACTCGCGATGTCACATGATGTCGCGCAACGTATCAGAGCTTTTTCACCATTGCCAGCAATGGGGTGGGCGCGGCTCTGGTATCATGAAAATGGCCCGTGGGCTGGCAGTTTGACAACCCTGTCCTAGACAACTATGGCTTCAAAACAGCAACAGCTGAGTTTGCAAAATACATTAAACCAAAACCCAAGGAAAGCTATTATTCAACTGCACACTCAGCAAAAAAATATTCTTCCTCAGCCTGGGGAAGGAAGACTAGTACTTGAATTCTCAATTAATCCATATTATGAAACTAATTTACTCTCACTGTGATTTATCTTATGTTCAAAAAATATTAAGCCCATTCCTTAATGGCACCATGAACATAAAAATCAATTTTATATGTCAAAATAAATATTGTGGAGCCAAATAGCAGTGTGATTGTTTTAGTGTAGTTCCAGATTTCATTTTTCAGCTATAATTTGGTTAAAAAAAAAAGAACCTCGATAGTCAAATCCACCTGTACTTGAGAAAATACCCATTTTGATCAGACTGAACAACTTTCTTTCAATGCCGTGCCTCTGCTAAGTCTAGAAACAACATCTGAAGGCAGCAGTTCATATTCCCACTGCTGCTCTCCAACAGCTGATTTTCTAAAGCATATTGCTTCTAAATCTAAAGAAGGTCTACATCATTTGTGACCGACAGCCACAGATTTGCTTTTGCAAGGAACTACCTAAAGCAGGGGTCTTCAAACTTGGCCCTTTTATGACTTGTGAACTTAAACTCCCAGAATTCCTCAGCCAGGCACGCTGGCTGAGGAATTCTGGGAATTGAAGTCCACAAGTCATAAAAGGACCAAGTTTGAAGACCCCTGGCCTAAAGTAATAGTCACCATCTCTTCCAGCAGCCACATGTTTCATGTGTTTTATACATAGGGTGAAGACGGCTTCTTAAGGCAGTCCTAAACAGACTCTAAATGTACATGATTGGAGATTCCCCTTCTGCTCTGGTAATATAAGAGGGTAAACACTGGAGACAAATGTACGTAGTATTGAAAGCTTGATTATACAGTTTGGAGAAGGCCATTGCCCTTACATAGTGACTTTATTTCCAACGTATAACTTCCACGAATTAGTCTTCAGCCCCTCTGATGTTATTCACCTTTAGACAAAGTTGTGTTGATGCCAATTTCACAGTATGATTGGTTTAAAAGTCATTACTCAATTTTGAAGGACTCTAAAAATATTTTCCCTGAGATTCAGCAGACAAGATACAGCATTATAAATTGTGGATATTTCATTTTAGTGGTATCATAAAACGTCAACATTTGGCAAACATTTCTCAGTAATACATATAAATCAAAAGTGTTTCGTATTTCTCTGTTCCAAAATGCAATGTTCATAGACTCTGATAAAGAAGGCCAAACTGAAAGTTATAGCTTACAAATCTCTTACTCCAAACAAAATAGAATCGCAAATGGGATAAGACTATTTCCTATTTCATTCAAGATTAAAAAACTGGTCTGATAAAGACTTTGTGCTGTAACAAAAAAGAGACTAATTGGAATTAAATTATACTTGGCTGTGCAAAGCATTCACAGAAGATACTTTGCAAGTGCAAAAATCATGAAAGTGTAGATTTAGCCACTTGGCTCAGGGAACACTTTCAAAGCAGCTGCACATGCTTGGAAAAAGACAGGGTTGCTTTAATAATCCATTGTGAAGTCCTTTGCTCACATTGTTGCATGTTACAAAGCATCTCTTTCAAACACTTCACTCAGTTCAATTATAAATAGCAATAACTATAATTACAGTGACAAAAATACCAAGTTCAAGATAATAATCCTGAGAAACTTGAATTAAATACCACAAAGTTGGCCTACACAATCTTCTGCAAGCAACTTGCATGGGATCTACTGGAAGGAAGGCTGAAAGACCAGCAGTAGCTTCCAACTTCCATTCTCCTGCTCTCTCAGGAATTTGAGCAATTCTTGGCCTGGGGTTTTATGAATAGTGAGCTCTGAGAGACTTTATATTAACACTGACATGCTTGATCTGAGCCCGGACATTTTCTTTCAAGATATCGGTGCATGGTCTAGTGGTAGGTGTTATGTCAATCTTCTCAGTTCTATTAAAAGATGGAAAAGTGGAACAAAATTATATAGTAACAAACTTCCATGAACATACACGAGTTGTAAGATGCTTTGGTACTTAAGAAAACGTTTGGCAGAGGAAGAAGAGGGAAGGCCAAACTTCCTTCTCAAGTGCCAGTCAACAACTGGAAGACAAAAAATAGCCTCAGTTCCCACATGTGGATTAGTCTGTACTGGAAATATGAGAAGTCACTCTTGTGGTGAATTGCAAGAGACTTTGCTTAAACTCACAAAACTGTTTCAGCCTCACTTTGCTATGTGCTATACCAATCCCTTCCTGCAGAAGGACAACATGTAGGTATTGGTGATGCATGTTGGGTTTTCAAAAAAAAATTGTTGTCTTCCACTGAGATAAGACCCTTCCTGGGAGATTGTGATCCCAATTATCATAGTAAATAGATAAATAGCACAGGAATCCGAGTTTCGGAAGGAAAAAATCAAATAAAGGCCCAAACCATTCCCTTCACGTTGTGGTAAAGATCAGTATCCAAGTCGGGTGTTTTTCAGTATGGCAGAATCCATTTTGTGTCTGCACTGGTCCTTGCAGAAGCCTAATTCAGGCCCTACTCTGAACTAGATTCTCGACTTAAAGGTTTGCTTTGTAGACATCCTTTCGTAGTCGCACTTCCTTCAATACCCGGGCCCGGAAGGTGCTCCAGTCCTCATCCCTTTGGCGCTGGAGGCCCATGGCTTCCTGAATCTCCTGGCAGTGAGTCCGTAAGAAAGGATTATACTGCTTTTCTTCACCAATGGTGGAAGGACACTGTGGGGGATAGAGAATGAGTGGGTTACTTATTCTGAATGGAAAAAAAAATCAGTAGCAGATACCCTTTTCGAGAATAAGGAAGATAAATAACCACGATAGAAACATGCAAGAGCTATATCTAAACAAAAGAGACTAAAGCATTTTTTTAAGAATACCTCCCTGATTCTCTAGAACAGTGGGGTTCTCAACCTTTTTAATGCCGCGACCCCCCACCGGTTGTAAGTTGAGGACTAAACCAGTCGTAAGTCGAGGACTACCCAACTGGTTGTAAGTCGAGGACTTTCCCTGCCCAGGAGGGTGCCGCCCCCTGTGCTGGCCGAGGCCTAGCTGGCAAGCGGCAGAGACGGAGCAGGCCGACCACTGGCTGGGCCGCCAGCTGGCCCAGCCCAAGGGAGGTAAGGCACCCGCCGGAAAAGGGGAAAAAAATGGCGGACAGCCTTGCTTGGCGACCCCTGTGAAATGGTCAATCGACCCCAAATGGGGTCGCGACCCACAGGTTGAGAACCACTGCTCTAGAATATAAGAAGGAAAAGGGTACAGCAGACCTGGGCATTTTATAGCCCACAGGCCACCTCCGTGGGCTGTCCCTGTCCAGCCTGTGGTGGTCAGCAGCAAGACATCAGCATTGGCAGTGTTGGGGTGGCAGCAACATCGAGGGTGGGGAGGTGGGATGGGAGGGCAGCGGCCTCCACAAAAGTCCCAGTTTCTCATGTGGCCCTTTGGGAAAATTAATTGCCTGCTCCTTGGGTACGGCATAACCAGACATGCAATGTTCTGCTAATATAGCCTCAAAACATCACTGCTCAAGCTGCTTTGACCTGATGACTGCATTGCCTCTAATTTATTAAATGCTAATCTGGGAAAAGTGTCCTCGCTTAAGGACTGCCCTGTTTAGTGACCATACAAAGTTACAATGCCACTGAAAAGTAACTATCATCAATTCTCACACTACTGCAGTGTCCCCAGCTACATAATCAAAGAATCAGACACTTCACAACCAGTGTGTCTTTGACCAATGCAGCATTCCATGATTGCCAGTTGCACACTTCACAAACAGTTTTTGGTAAGTAGGGTCAATGGAGTAGCCATCAGTGAAACAGCAAGTCGTGGTCATGTGATGTCTCGCTTAACGACTGTCACTTGCTTAACAACCAAGTGGGAATGATATATAGTTTAAGGATCTGAGTTGCTGCTCCCAATTGTGTTCTTTAAATGAGGATTACCTGAGTGCTACATGGCAACTGAAGGGGGAGAGGGAAAACATACACAGCTGCTGAAATATTTCATTCTTAAAGAAGTTACAAACCCCCAATGACTTCTCATCTCCCTCCACTCCAGGTTTTATCTTGGGCGATGGATAGATCCCCTAACGTGAAAGAAACATCCCATGCATACAAACAGAGCCACTCCTTACTGTGCTTCTCTTTTCAAGCCGCTGTTGGCTCACCCACTGGAGCTTCTGTTTTAGAATGGGGTTTTCTGCCTCCTGGAGGCTTGCAAACATTAGGCATTCAAATGCATACTCATGCCCTAAGGAAAGAGGATGAACAGTCAACACGGTATAGTCATCCAAGGTCTCTCAACATCTCTGCTATTCTGTATTTTAAGCTGCTTAATTTCTGATTCCCAAACAACTGTTTTTCTTTAAGAATCATGCAGACCACGGGTGTCAAACTCGCCGTGTCAGGTGACGCGTCGTGACCTATCATGACTTTTTTTGCATTGCCGGAGCTGGGCTGGGTGGGGCCTCCGCGTGATGCAACCAGCCCGCAGGCCGGCAGTTTGACACCCGATGTAGACTGTGCTAGCAGAATTCTCGGGACAACATCAAGACAGTTTTTAAGTGGTCCAATATGATTTTAGAATCATCCCTGGATCAGTGATGAAGTTCATCCAGGTGGACTTTCCTTCCATACAGGTAGTTCTCAACTTATGATAGCGATTGGGCTGGGAATTTCCATCACGACGGCATGTGGTTATAAAGCGTGACCACATTGCTTAGCAATGGCAGTCCTGGCAGTCCCAGTTGCTGTTATTAGCAGAATCCCACAATTTCCTGCCAGTTTCCCATGACCAAGTCAGTGGAGAAGCTGGCAGGAAGTTGCATGTCCCAGGCGGCTTGCAAGCAGACTGGCAGGTAGGTACTGCCAGGTAGGATACGGTGCATGAGGGGGTGAGGGAAGGCTTGGGAAGGGTAGAAGGGAAGCCTGGTAAAGCTCAGGAAGGATTCCCAAAGGTAGTACAGTGAGGCTCAGGGAGGGAGGCACTCCAAGGGGATGAGGATGTGGCTTTTTATTCTAAGTTCGGAAACTGGAAAAAAAAGGGAGTTGAAGCACAAAACAAAAAGATGATGTATGGTCTACCTGGCCAAAGTAGGGTATCTTCAGCCAAGTCAGCTGCTATGTCTAATGAAGCCAGCATTGTTTCTGGTGTGCCTTCAAAGATCCGACCTAGAGAGCACAAGGAACAAATTCATTCAACAAAGAGGACTGACACGAGGGAGACTTCAATGGCTGTATTTCAATGTAACAGTTGGTTTCCTCTTCACATACTGTATCTACTGATGCCTTTCCTCCCTTAAATTTGTTCCCACCTTCAGCCAGAGTCACTACATAATTTCCAATAGGAAGGTCTAGGCCAGTGGTGGCGAACCTATGGCACAGGTGCCAGAGGCGGTACTCAGAGCCCTCTCTGTGGGCATGCACACCGTCATCCCAGTCCTAGGCCTTCAGCTGGGTTTTATAAAACCTTTTCGCTTTAGGCCTCCGCCGCCATGTGCAAAAAAAAAAAAAAATAAAGGTTCAATCAGTCTATTTCAACTTCTTGTGGGAAAAAAAAGATTTTGCAAAGTTGGAATTGATTGAACTTTTTAATTCCACCCATTCTGCCGTTACGACAGCCACACCCACCCAATGGGCCACACCCACCCAATGGGCCACACCCACCCGGCACTCAACGATGTATAAGTGGGTTTTGGGTTGAAGTTTGGGCACTCAGTCTCTAAAAGGTTCACCATCACTGGTCTAGACTTCATTTGTTTAGCTATTGAGAGTCTGTTCCAGATGCTTGCAGAGGTGTCTGATGCCCCCTAGTGGCTAACAGAGGCAAATTTCACATTAATTCCCAAGGAATAGTCCATGAGGCTGAGGTAGCAATATCAGGAAGCCAAGTTGGTTTCCTCCTTCAGCTGGAAACTTACCACAGCCAGAGAGGAAGAGGAGGTCTCCTGAGAAGAGAGAGCTAGGACTTTCAAACGGTTCCCCATCCAAGACATAGACCATGTGCCCCAGCGTGTGACCTGGAGTGAGCAGAGCCGTGAAGTTCAGGCGCCCAACCACTACAGTCTCCTTGTCCGTGAGGGGACTGAAAAGGAACAGCATGTTTATGGTCACAAGCTGAAAGGGACATCAGAGAGCCAATACTGAGTCATCTTATACTATTCAGATGAACACAAAACAATAAGATGAGTCATCTTACAATATTTAGATCAGTGGTTCTCAACCTTTTTAATGCCGCAACCCCCAACCGGTCGTAAGTCGAGGACTACTCAACCGGTCATAAGTCAAGGACTACTCAACTGGTGCAGCACCGTTTGCAGAATGGGACTTTTGGCGGGCTCAGCAGGGCAGAGACAGCCTGGACAATTTCTATTGGCTTTTGAAAGCCAATAGAATTAGATTCTATTCAAGAGAGTCTATTCTATTGGCTTTCAAAAGCCAATAGAATAAAAGGGAGTAGCACAGCTAAGGAAAAGGGGGAAAAAAATGGCGGACTGCGTTGTTTGGCGATCCCCGTGAAATGGTCGTTCGACCCCAAATGGGGTCCCATCCCACAGGTTGAGAACCACTGATTTAGATGAACAGGAGGAGAGGGCCATTATTCCCCCTCACTCTCAAGACCATACTATTATCTTTCTAATGCAATCCCAAAAAAATTTCTAGCTGAGAAGGAGATTTGTCTTCACATTGTAAGCCCAGCATGTTTTGTATCCATCCTCACCAAGCGGGGAGCAGAACTCAAAGGTCACCTACTCTGTCAGTTCAGGAATGTCATCAAAGCTGCTTCCATAGACTCTGCAGGAGCCATACCATCGCCGCAGGCCTTTGTTGCCTCCACTGTGATCCCTGTCAAGAAGAGACACATTTAACTATGGAAAGCACAGGATGCCCATCTTATTCACTTCCATCATGATTGCAATGCCATATCTACAGACATATTCCCCAATAAAACCCATGTAGAACAAGTTACTCCAAGGAAAAGGTTTATTTCCACCTGTGCACACATTTGTCCTGACCACACCTGAACTGGTAACATCAGTTTTGCACTAGGATTTTACTTAGTAGACACACATTTTAAAGTTCCCCAACATTCCCCCTTATCCGCAACCAATCAAGAAAAGGGAAAAAGAAATCCCTTACCAATGTTTGTGAGTACACAGGATAGCTTCCAGTGTCACTTCCTCTTCCTGAATGACTCTCTGTGTGGCAAGAGAAAAAAAAAAAGCGGAAATTCAAGCACTGTTCTGATTCCACTATATACATACCTTTCCCCTCCCCCACACTTGAATGTGGAGTCAGATATGGCATCTAACCAAGCTTACTAGAAGTTTACTCCAGAAGGACTCCCACCGTTTCATCCTCTTTTGAAAAAAAAAATGGAAAAAAAATATTACAGACATACGCATATCTTATTTTGCAGATGTAATTTGATGATAACAATAGCCAACCTTTTGGTGCTTGGGGCTCAGTTTCCTTTTATGGAAGTGGGCCGTTGAGGGTGGGAGTATACTAACTGGAAGGGACCTTAACAGACATTGTAGGGTAGTGATGGCGAACCTTTTACAGACCAAGTGCCCAAACTGCAACCCAAAACCCACTTATGCATCATCGGGTGCCGGTTGGGTGTGGCCCACTGGGTGGGTGTGGCCCATTGGGTGGGTGTGGCCCATTGGGCAGGCATGGCTGTGGTGGTAACAGCAGACTGGGTGGGACTAAAAAGTTCAATCAATCAATTCTAACTTTGCAAGATCTTTTTTTTCCCGTGAGAAGTTGAAATCGACTGATTGATTGAACCGTTTTTTTTGGTACACGGTGGCGAAGACCTAAAGTGAAAAGGTTTTATAAAACCCAGCTGAAGGCCTAGGACTGGGGCAACGGCGTGCGTGCCCACAGAGAGGCCTCTGAGTGCCACCTCTGGCACCTGTGCCATAGGTTTGCCACCACTGTTGTAGGGCTTTTCAGGTTTAAGCAATTTTCTTCTAATAAAGAAAGAAAAAAAATGTACAATGAATTATAGGGCTCCAACTAATTTCCATATATTGCTTGTAATTTTTTTTTTTAAGATACCAATTCTTGGAACTGTGGTTGGGGAGGGCTCCAGAGACAAAACAAAATGGAGAAGTCTTCTATCCATTCTTCTCTGAGGACTATTTTCAGAGTATTCCTGATCTAAGAGGAAAAGACCAGCAGTGGAGATTAAAACAGGGATTGGGAAAAGAAGGAAGAAGGCAGAGAGAGAGACTGATGCCCATATTGACAGAGCAGAGGGAAGCTTTCTGTAGCAGCCTAGGGAAGGTTTCATCAAACTACAAGAGGTGACCCATAAAAGATCACCATAATGAACAGAGGTATGAAGGGATCCTTGGTGCTCTCTCAGCTGGGTTGTTCTCTTGCAGATGATTCATTGTCCTGTACTGAGGTTACCTAGTTTGGATAATGAAATGTCCAGAAGGAAACACCCAAGCACAGAGAGCACCAAGGACCCTTCATTTCAATTCTGAGTTATAAATCAGTTTCTCTATCAGAATAGAGGTGTGTATATCTTACCACATATGCAGGAGAGAATCAGGGCAAACAAGCAACATATATCACAAGAGACCCAGGATTGAAACCCTGGATCTCTCCCACTTCTGCTTTTGTAAAATTGGAATCATGGAACTAGAAAAAAAAGGGGAGGTTGGTGGTGCTGGAGGGGTTTTATATCAAAACTGCAGTTCCACAGCTACTTTCAGTTCTATCTCTTTCCTCTGACAGTTGATAAGGCAATGGGGTGGGAAGGAGAAGAGGAAGATGTGATTTTGATCAGAAAGCAGCCAAGAGAAAAAGGTCAAAGCCACCTTAGACCCGACGCTTTGTGGCAGATGTCCATCTTCATGCACGCATACACAGCCTATTATTTATGTTAGGAAAGGAAAAGGCTGATTCTGCTAATCTGTGTAAAGAGGACATGGGGGGAGGAGGGAGAAGAGAGGGGGAAGAAAAGCAAGAGTCTTTTAAACAGGAGTTTGGTACCAGGGGCAATAAATTCATATAAACAGCACTGCTCCACCTGTATAACAGCACAGTTGACTGCTATTCTAGTGTCACTAGCAAGTTTTATTGGTTGCTGAAGTTTATGATTTTAGTAGGCCAATATCTTTGTCTACTGCTCCTAAATAGTTACATGTAAGCTTTAGTGTCCAAGAAGATACCAAATCTTTGACTGTGGGCCATTATTCCATTAAAAACACAGAAGAGCCTGCTCCATCTAGTTTTCAAACTGTCATTAACTTGGGAATGTTTGTCTAGCTGGGCTGGACTCTATTTAACTATCTCATAAGTAATGTTCTTGATTTTTGTATCACAAGCCATTATAAAAATGCCCTAAGATTATATTCTGGTTTGATTTAATGGTGTTTATTTTTTTAACAGATAGTGTAATTAGCTGCCTTTACAACACTAGATAGTTACTTCATCTTCATATCTGAAAATTATTCATTTTACTTGGATATCATTTTTCCTCTTAAAAGAACCAGAGCAGTGTACCAAGCACTGCATCATAGTAATTAAACCTTCCATTTAAAAAGGCAGAAGATACCAATTAACAATAACACAACCAGCATTAAACGGTTTCACCTAGTGCCTTATTTTCTCACAAATATCTGAATGAGCAGATATATTTTCAACTGTTATCTACATGAGAACTACCAGCATTTTAGTGGGAGGGGAATTGCATATTGTACCCTGCTGCTGAAAACACCCTATCACAAATCTACAGGCTGCACCAATCCAGTCATGCAAATATTATCTTGACTTCAATAAGCTATTTTCGTTTAGTCAAGGAAGAGATGGGTTCAAGCTGAAACCTTGGCATTATGGGCACCCTGACAACCATCACCGAATAAAGAAATATCTTGTGAAATCTGAGCCCAAATTTCACTGACAACCATCACCGAATAAAGAAATATCTTGTGAAATTTGAGCCCACTCCTTCAAAAGGAAGATATTTCAATTTTCTGGTTCTCATTCAGCAATCAATACTTCCAGGTAGCTGCTGAGCACCTGCTCAATAACCAAAATCACAAAGCTCTTTCCCCAGATGACCATCTCTAAATATATAACCTGAATAACTCCCAGACAGCTCGGAGCTATGTTTGAAGATGTCTATCTAGAACAAGCTAGCTTTGTTAGAACCCCTGGGGGGGGGGGAAATCCAAGGGGATGAGAGGCAAAAATCATTTATCGCAGACATGCCAAACTGTCGGCCCACGGGCCGGATACATTATACTGAAACCGCGCCCACCCTATTGCCGGCAATGGGGGAAAAGTCACGATACATCACACGACGTCACGTGATGTCGCGAGTCTGACATGCCTGATTTATAGCATCCTCTCACGGTCTCATTCTGACTCTTTCTCTCTTAAGCTCTCCCTCTGGCCTCTCCTTCAGCTACACTTGACATTTTATTCCAAACACATCTGAACAAAAGTGAAGAGCTGGCCCTTGAGTATAACAGGAAGAGCCAGTATGACAGGTGCTTCTGAAGAGGAGAAACCCCACGCAGGAAGGAAGGGATTTTGATCATAAGAGGTTGCTGCTGCTCTTATTGCTCTAACTTTGAAACACTCTTGGAAGCATCCAGCTATTGCTTCATCAACTGCTTTCCTGCAGAAGGGAGGGAGGCAGCAAGAAGCAGACTTGAAGAGTCATGAATCCTTTCCTTAATTGGAAGGTAGTCTATGCTAAACAATGGAGAAGAGGAAGGCAGGAGCCAACTGACTTATGTTTCCTTAAAGATCTTTGCAGATTGTAAATAAGTCAAAGGAGAATCAAGCAAATGTGTTCTCGGATGGGATAGCAGGCGGAGGTCAAAGGGCATACCACTTACCAAGCCAAGCAGTGTATATATAAAAAGAACTTCATGATAACAAGAGCCATAACAGGACTGCCAGGCAAGTATATTGTGAACAGTCAAACCTGAAGCAGCTGGAGATGAAATATCATAAACCAGATCTGACTACCCTTTAAAAGTATTTTTTTTAAAAAGGGGGGGAAGAAGGGGGAGAGATCAAGAAAACTTATAGCGATTTAGTTTTAGAAAAATAAAGTAGAAATACAATAACTATTAATATTTAACAGTTTGCATTGCCTTCTACTTACTTTATGTTCTAGTTGTTTTCATCTGGGCTATGGTACTGAGACTCTTTTGATCACTTTACTAGATAACCTACCTCAAAAACTAGATGGAGTGTGATTTGTTTATTTCCTTTGGACCTCTCAGTGCTTTAGATTATCACTGATTATGGTAAATTTATGGGCAGTCTTGGGCACACTATTCTAAGAGATTCTGTCATTTTTGTTTGGCCACGCTCAGAAACTGCAATTTTATTCCTTGGCTGTTCTATAAATTTTTTTTCTTGTTATCTGAATGCTGTCTTCATGAAACAATTGGAGGTCATGCAGAGCTTTAACAAAAAGATATCATCAGCATGCTCTATTGTTTCCTATCTTCTAACTCCAAGGAAGCAATCAGTAACCCCGAATGTTGCCTAAACGCAACAATAGTTGGATGAGGCAGAACAAACAAATGATGGGACCATCAGGTGCATCTTATCCTTCTATCATAAACACAGCTCACTATGGATGTTATTGCACAGATACTTTTGGTAGAAAACAGTGTGGATTTGGGGATACATGAAGCCTGTTCTGACTGAGGATGTATTTCCACACAGAACGCCAGTTTGAAATTTAAAATTACTCACTGGTCTCCACTGTCCTTGAATTAGCAGGTGGCAGTTCTGATGAAAAATGTGCTTGGCAAATATGTCTAGTGTTCCAGCTATGATCTTCCCCTGAGCCAGTCAGTGAGGGTGATCCATGCCCTGTTTACAATCCTTGTATTATAATGTCCTTAATAGGGAAAATGCTCAGAAATTATAACTGAGGTAGAATTTGATATCAAGACTACTGACAAATGCTTGCATTAGTTATCGAGTACTTTCCAGGCACAAATTAAGGTGTAGATATCGAACTAAAGCTTAAGGCGCAATTATTTTCAAGACTGCCTAATTCAATATGGACCTGCCCAGTTCCTTAGATCAGGAGGCAATGCTTTACTGAAATGTCCCATCTGCCAGAAGCTTGATCTCCTTTTTACTATTGTTTTTGCCCACCCCTCCAATTTAGTAGAAAGACTATGAATCATGCTTTCTCAGTTGACAGTACCTGTTCTGTGAAACAGCGTCCCCCAGAGATTTAGATGTCAATGCTGTTAACATTGGATGTTCTTGCTTTGACAACATATGGAGATGCAGCCTTTTTCTTTCTTATACTTTATTCTTAGAATTAGATGATACTGGGGGAGGGGGAGGAATGCGATGGGAGTTAGTTAGATATACAATATTGTAATAAGAGCTGATAAGGAATGGCGGAATAAAGAACTGGGTGGAAAGCCAGCATTTCAAACTAATTGGAGAATATGATTTATGACAGTTAGTTGTAGGAGGGAATTGTGCTTTGATCTATGTGCTGAAGGGAGGGGAAGTCAGATTTTGGCTTCGACTATGTACCTGCCCAAGCTATGCTGCTCGAATAAAGGTTCTTTAAGGTAAATAATGCCTCAAAGTTCTTTGAAGAGTTTCATCTTTCGGAACCATGATATTAGATAGCTTCATCTGTATTAGTCTTGTGCAAGGTTCTGAAGACCTAGCTATATCCCAAGTATTTCAGTCAGGTGAACAGATTACCTCTATTAATATTAATGGTGAGTAAGATCGACTGTTTATCCTTGAGTATGGGCAGTTATGTTTCATGTGGTTGTCTATTTTATTCTTGTAAGACAGCCAGTCTCACTTGTATGAGATGGGCAACTACTGTACTTATTTAATTAGAAAAAAGCCTTTTCCTGTCTGGCTCCCAGATTATGGAACACACTCCTTATAAGGCAGTGTTTCCCAAACTTGACAATTTTAAGGCATGAGGACTTCAACTCCCAGAATTCCACAGCCAGCGTTAAAATTGTCAAGTTTGGGAAACACTGTTATAAGGGAATGCATTTGATTCCTGCTCTCTCTCACTCTTTAAGAAGAGGGTAAAATACATTTCATTTACTAAACATTTCATGTTAATTCTTTTAATGTCTGCATTTAATTTTGGCTTTGGTTTTAGCCAATTTTTTAATGTTTTATACTCTGTATGTTTTAATTGTAAACTGTCTTGATTGTTGGAGTAAATAGAAAACTGGGATATAAAGACAGTAAAAATAGATATGTTATTTTAGAAAGCTGGGGTATAAAGACAGTAAAAACAGATATGTTATCTTCTTTTGATCTCTACAGTGATTTGTAAGTGTAGTGAATTTACAAGATACAGTAGATCAGGTACTTTCCACACATTATGAATTATGGCTGAGGCTTGTTTGAGATTGCTTAATGAGACAAAGTTGAATCTAGGAACTTCCTGATCTGTAATCCAATAGTATGAAAATAAATTGCACCAGGTCTCAGTTTAATGCCAATCTGGCACCCCCAATGTTTGGTGATTGCCAACTCCCAGAATTTCCATACTGGCTAAGAATTCCATGACTTGCAATCCAAATAAACCCAGGAGAGTGCCAGGTTTGGGAAGGTTGAAAATACTTTGAAGAATTGTAGTTTGGTGACATTTCTTATAGTATAGTTTCTTATACCTCAATATCCTCCTATTACCACGGCTATAGTTCCCCAGATCCTACACAGGTAGACTTTGCATACCAATTGCCTCATTCAGTAACCATTTAAAGTTACAATGGTGCTGAAAAAAATAACTTTACAACTGATGTCTGCCTTTATGATATTTGCAACATCCTTCAGTCACGTGATCACCATTACATTCAGTATGTATTGTCCTGTACCAGAGCTGTGGTTTTCTTCCCTCCCCCACTTGCAGAGCAGAGAGATTGTGGAGGAAGGGATTACAATGTGGGTATATTCCCCATTATATGCTTGCTTATTCTCTTGTAATCCCTTCCTCTCCAATGTCTCTATTGTGTGAGGAGGGGAGAAAAGAGTAACAATAGCATGTAGGTTTATATACCACCCCATAGTGTTTTACACTCTCTGGGCGGTTTATAATATAAGCATAATTTGAATATTGCCCCAAACAATCAGGGTCCTTATTTTACGGACCTCAGAGGGATGAAAGGCTGAATCAACCTTGAGCCCAGTCAGGATCAAACTCCAAGCTGTGGGCAGAGTTTGCCCACAATACTGCAGTTTAAGCACTATGCCACCAGAACTCTTGAATGGATCAGGCACAGGAGAGATTGCCTCAGATTGCTTGGGTTTTTGTTTTTACCCCTCTCCCCTTGCTCTCAAGAATACACTGGGCTGTTGCACAGCACACTTGAGGTTGCTGGTACCAAATCATTCTTTTATATGTGTATTTCCCATTGTGTGCCTGCTTATTTTCTTATAATCCCTTCCTCTTCAATTAATGTAATTACAAACATTAATCCCCTTTTTGTTAATTATCCTGGCACTGGGATGAACATTCCAAACGGCAGGAGAATGGGAAAAAGGAAAGCAGTCGTGGTCATGTGTTTTTCCACTTAGCAACCACTTGACTTAACAACAGAGCTGCTAGTCCAAATTGTGGTTGCTAAATAAGGACCACCTATAACTGTTAAATAAGCAAAAATCTACCACGCAGTTGCGTCATCCTGACTAATGGTAGTACTGCACTTATGTGCAGAAAGAGGTTCTTTACAAATGACACCTCCTAGAAGCATTGAGATTTATGGGATAGATGATAGCCGGCCTATCAAAGACTTTGCCAGAGGAAGGATTTAAATACTGATCATTTGGAATTAGGGAGGGTAGAGGAAGAATTCATTTTTTTCCTTTCTTAGCATTTAAGCTTGGAATCAATTCTTGAGAAATGTCAGTTCTTTCCAGAAATGTGATAGATACTATTTTCCTTTTGCCTCGTACAAAACTTAGCCTAATTCATCCAAGGGACTTTTTGACACTCCCTTTCTACGATTCATACTTGATTAACATCTCTATGAACTTGTAGCAGGTCATGGTAATCTGTCATTCTCCAGCTGACTTTGATAAAAATTCCAGAAACCACAGTGAAAACAGACAAGTCCTCAACTGCATGGGCCATTGCCTGGATATTAAACATTCTTGCATCAATGCAAGAGATCAGACCAACTGATTACCAAGTCCTTCTTCTTAAGAGGACAGCTTGAGTCAATTTAAAAACATTGCTAAGAATGGCAATTCCCTTTCTAGCTTTCAAACATCCATATTTGAGCCACTTTATACAGCAGAAGATGCAAAAAAACAAAACAGGATGTATTATTAGATTCCTGGGTGATCTGAAAAGAACTGATTGCTAATTGCTGAACAACAGTAATAACAAAAATAATGTATTTCCCACCATCCCTGACTTAAGTAACTGAGATGAAAAAAACAAATGAAGAACAGCACTGGATATTTTGATGATCAGACTTCAAAGTCAGTTCTAGCATCAAAATCTATTACAGTGGTGGCGAACCTATGGCACGCGTGCCAAAGGCGGCACTCAGAGCCCTCTCTGTTGGCACACGCACCACTGCCACCAGTAGCAGGTCCATCAGGCCGCCCAGCACAAAGGAGGAGAAGCGACTGACTAGCAAGCTCAAGTAGAGGTGGTAAAGCAGAGGTCACCAACCATTGTCGATTGGTGGATGGGAAGAAAAAGGAGGGGGAAGCATTTTACATGTGTGCATGCGCACATGGGGCCACAAGCACGCACGCATTGCAAATGGGCCGGGGCTAGTGCCTGCGTGATATTCACTAGCCCTGCCCTGTTCTTGTATGGTGCAGCATCTTGTATCTGCACCCTGCAGTGCGGCAGCGGCCATTTTTGCGCCTTGCAGCATAGTGGTCCATTTTTGTGCCCCCGATCTTTGCATGCCAGAGGCGACACTCAGAGGCGCCTCCCCTGAGGGCACCACAATGCTGATGCGGCCCTGGCACGTTGCAATAAATAAGTGGGTTTTGGGTTGCGGTTTGGGCACTCGGTCTCTAAAAGGTTAGCCATCACTGGTCTATTACTTTATCTCAGTCATGCACAGAAACATCCTATTCCTTAATACTGCTAAGAGTGTTTATATTTATTTATTATACCCAATTCCATTTGGTTGCTCCTTAAAATCACAACAGAAGTGCGGAACTGGAAGAGCTTGCTTGTTGCTGAAAAGCAATGCTATGTAACACTGAATTAGAGGTCCAATTTTGAGGGAGAGGCACTTTAGCAATTTCTGGAGAGCTCATGGATTCCATATCCCTGATTAAGGAAGAAAAAGTAGACACCCAGCCCCAAAATCTTCCTATCTCTAACTCTGGAAAGGAAATATCATATCTGGATTCTCACCTGTACAGCCAAAGGATCAGAAGGGTCCACAACTACAGCACTGTTGGAGTCAGTGTCAACAACAAGATAGCTGTAATTATCAGACAGGACAGGAACAGGGAGGATCTTCAAACCTGGGAAAACAAACAGAAAGCAAAGAAGGAAGAAAAGCAGGAAAATGAGCCCAGAAAACCCTCCATTGAACCTGCAATATCTATATCGCTATTTGGAACTATATTTTGTTGGCCACCTTGAATAACTCTTTAAAAGAGAATTATTTTTAAAAGATAGTGAGACATTGCAATCAGAGAAACAAAAAAGATTTTTAAAAAATTGGCCTCTGCAGCCCAGCAGCCTTCTAAGTCTTAGAGAGATGCAAGTTCTCCGAATAACTTTTGTCTACTGAGCAATAGAGAAAAAAAGATGCTCGGTAATTTCAACTAGGGTGGTGGGGCACAGATGTTCAAGTACAGCGATCCTGCTGTATCTTCCATGAAATGTGCCACAATCTCAGCTGATCTCAAAGATCAAACTGTGAAACTGGTCAGCGCCCTTCCCAAGATTTCTGACCAAGTCAGTTTGTAGAATTCTGCACATGTGTAAAAAGCCTTCTCTGTACAAATTGTTTGCCAAATTCAGGAGTATGAGTATGATTGAATCCCAATCATATGGACCTAATTTGACTCATTCGTCCATTCTGAGGCATCTCAAAAAGTTAAGTTTCCATTACAGGATTTCTTCCCTTTCCAGAATCCAGTTACTATTTCTCAAAATTCACTGACCAAAAGTTAAATCAAACAATATGCCTCAAAACAACGCAAGTGGGTACATCTATCCAAAATGCAATAGAAAAAGCCAAGCTCTCACCATTGAACTCCACAGGCTGGGAAATTGAGTGTCCTTGGGGATAACGCTGGCGTGCCTTCTTTACCTGCCGCTTGTAAAACAGGTAGCCCAGCCAGGTTTTCGCATAGAGATTATACCTGAGGAACCGGAAGGCAAACATGCAGGCAAGTCAGAACAAGTTCACAAAGACTTTGGTACAATATGTTCCTGAGAATGATACTTAACAAAGCAGAGAGAGATTAACAGCCACCACTAGAGTTGCTGAACCATTCAAAGCGGACAACTGAAAGCAGAGGTACATTTAATTAAAAGAGACAAACGTATCATCTAGCATCAATTCAGTATTCTAGGACTAAACAGATAAGCTGTTAAACTACAAAAAGATGCCTGAAAACTCAAATTATAAAGTGTACACTCAACTTATTTTTCTTTCTTCGACTGATGTTTATTTTGTCTTGTCCTCAGGTTTCTGAGGTTATTAATTAAAAAAGACTGAAGATTTTACATTGGTCTAGTAAAAATACATTTACAAACTATTAACATTGCTAGTTTAAAAGCTGGTCTAAAAGAGAGCCTACTGAACACACGCTTTTCTGATTTTTTTTTAAAAAAGTGAAATTAGAAAAAGTTGTTGAGTTTTGACCCTTGGACAAAAATTACTGGAAAAAGTATGTGCAGCATCTAAGAATAAATCACAGCAGAGAAACAGTTTTTCAGGCCAACTGCAGCCAAGACAAAGGTGAAATATAATTTGAAGAGAGAAATTCCGAAGAGATAGATAACATGGTACTTTTTCTATATTTTATACAAGCTCCAGGCACTCCAACAAACATAACAAATGGTTGAAGAGTACGTTAGCTGTCAATCAAATGACTTGAAGGATTTGTCCTTCCCTTTGAGCATCTAACTACAGTACTCTAGGAATATATCATATTGACTGGAAAGTCATTTTGAGAGAATTAAAAAGAGCCTCCAGGACCATTGCAAGCAGTTTGGGAAAAAAAGGTACCCCCCCCCCAAAGATCAAAACAGCTAACATTTCACCACAAATATCATATAAACCCAAGGCAATTACACAGGATGAGCATATATTCCCAAAAGTGTAAGCTCATCTCACCAGTGTAGGAAGTGTAATCAGCATATAGGTAGTCCTTGACTTACAACCATTCATTTAGTGACTGTTAGAAGTTACATCACTGAAAACAATGACTTATGACTGTTTTTCACCCATACGACTGTTGTAGCATCTCCATGATCACGAGATGAACATTCCGGCACTTGGCAAGTCTTTATGACAGTTGCCCTGTTCCAGGGTCACACGATCACCTTCCCAGCTGGCTTCTGACAAGCAAAGTCAATGGGGGAAGCCAGATTCACTTAAGGACCGCATGATTCACTTAACTGCAGTGATTCACTTAACTGTGGCAAAAAGGTCATAAAATGAAGCAAAACTCACTTAACAACTACTTGCTAATTTGAGGTTGTAAGTCGAGGATTACCCATTAAAGTTTAAATTGCGAGTTCCCTTAGCAAAACTGCAGAAAAGTGAGAAATTCAGTATTGTGGACATGTATCCCTTTTCTGTAAAATTTATTCTAAAGATGGAGGAGTGGTCTATGACAGGGGTAGGAAAACTTGGCTCTTTTATGACTCGTGGACTTCAACTCCCAGAATTCCTGAGCCAGCATGGCTGGCTCAGGAATTCTGGGAGTTGAAGTCCATGAGTCATAAAAATGCCAAGGTTGCCTATCCCTGGTCTATGAAATGAAAAGAATCTTGCAGCCTTGATAATATTTTGTTTAAGATCCACTGGATTAGCATGATTTAACAATGTTATTAGCATTTAAGAACCGGTTTGCCGATGTGTGTGGCGGGTTACCCCATTCTTGAAGACGTCAGATGCTCACCTGATATGTACATTTATCAGACCACACAGACAATTCACAACTGAAGTGATAGTGGGTTGATTAGCAGACAAAGGTAAGATTTTTCTCCACAAAAATCTTTTGAACTAAGATAAAACATTTTGTTCTTTGCTCAGTCCTTCATAGTTCTTTCAAATAAAGAATTTCCCCGATTCATTGTTCCCCCCTGGAGAATTCTTGATGGAGAGATGAAACCTTAATTGCACTTCACACATTACTGTATCACCCCGAACCCCATGTTCTTGGCAATCAATTCACGTTCTCATTTAATAACCACTAGTTGAATGACTTCAAACTTAGGGTGGTATTTATGACCAGTCCTTGTAATTGTGGCCACTGCAGTCTCCATGATCACGTGATCAGAATCCTGGCACTCAGTGACTACCTCACAATTACAAAGTTGCAGTGTGCTGTGGTCACAACATCACCATTTATGACCTTCATTGCCACCTTCTGACAAGCAAAGTCAATGGGGAAGCCAGCAGGTCACAAATGGCAAACACATGACATTTTACTTAAGTGGGATTCACTTAACAACAGCAACCAGAAGTGCCAGGATTGCTGTCAGTAAGCAGTGTAGTCATGGGTTATCACATTTTACATCATTTAGCAACAGAAATTCTAGTACTAACGGCTGTTGTTGTCACTCCTAAAGGCTCCACATCGATCCACAAGCCCTTGGAGAAAAATATGGAACTAGCATCAAGCCAAGATTTTTTTGTAGCAATCTGTGGTGGGTGCTGAAAAGAAGGCCAAAGATTGGCTATCTTACTGGGGATTCCAGTAAGAATGGGGGGAAAGAAATGAGCTGTGAGACAAGACTGGAAAATACATGTCTGGTTTGGAAGCATCACTGCTTCAGACAGGAAGGTGGTGCAGAGAGTGGTGAGAATGCCCGAAAAGATCATTGGCAGTTCCCTTCCTCCCATCCAGGACATAGCACAGAAGTGTTGCTTGATCTGGGAGTGTATGGGACACTACACATCCTCTTCGCGACCTGTTTTCCTTGTTACTTTCTGGGAGGAGGCTTTGTGGTATCCGTAGCAGAACATCCAGATTCAACCATAGTTTCATTCCATACAGCATTAACCTTGCGAACTCTCAAGCTTCCTCCTTCCGTTATATATTCAAGATGGACAGTATTTAATATTTATTTGCTACGTATATGTAGGGTATGGGTCTATACATATGTTGTTCATAGCATGTTTAGGTGTGTGTCATGGATGTGTTTCACTCTGAGAGCAAGCAACTAAATGTCATTTTTGATGTGTGCCATTGTGCCCACAGTAAAAAAATGACAATAAAGGTTATCTATCTTATCTTATCTTATAGGAAAAACAAAAACTGATGGTGAACTCTAGCTTGTTGACACAAAGGTAGATCCTGTTTAGAATAAAATTCCATACCTCGCTACAAGGCAACTGTACCATGCCAATAAAAATAGATCCCACAAACTGCATGTTAAAGCTACATGCATCCTCCTGCATAGTACACCAGCTTTGAAATGCATTGGGCTGCAAGCCAGTCCATGCTCAGTATGATGGGTTGTAATCCAATACTTCTAGAGCCTTGCAACACAAGAATGGGACTGCTTATATTAAAAGTGGCTGGGGAGGTTTCAGGAACGTTAGATTCATAAAAATTTGAAAGCGAGCCAGCTTTTCTCCCAAGGTGCCTCCACTCCAGAGCCATTTCCTGAAAGATTAAGCAGCCTCTAAGCTGAGTCCACAATAACTTCCTTCAACAAATCAACATCTGAGAACCCAGTTTTCCTCTGTTATCAGCTGCAACTGATTGAGCCTTCAGATTAAACTTGCAATTAAGCAGTATCCAGTGGTTTGTCTGTTTTTTTATTTTCCTGGGACAAGAGGCCCACACAAATTCAGAATGAGACAGGCAAGCCACACATACAAGAGACTTTCTTCCCCTGCAGGAGTGAAATTATTTTATCCAAATGTCTGCAGATGGCTCAAATCAAGAGTCTCTGAAGAAAAAGATCTAAAACCTTGCAATTTAGGCAGCAATGTCTGTTCTACCAGGGACTGCTTAAGCAGGATTCTCAGGTCTAAGAATAGGAAAGCAAGGACCACTGGTGAACCTCCCAAAAGACACAACTGTAGTAATACACATCCAAATTTGGTCCCTGGGTATCATAGTCAAAAGTCTTTCAAAGACCAGTTTTCCATACATTTCTTTTTCTGAGCTTGCAGGCTAATTATTCCACAGAGTTTTTATCATTCTGAAATCTCTCGGTATAAATTCTCTCAACAGCTATAACAATTCTGTATATGATCCTCATATTGCGCATAGGCACAACTGAGGACAGGCAACCTGCCCATGCCAGCTAGTAAATTTATGGCCAAGGTTTCACAATTCAGCCTTGGAATTATAATATGCTTGCACTGGAGATGAGCACACAACTCAATCCTGTCACCACGCAGGCAACCCAGTCTAACTTGCAGTTCAATCCGGTCACCACAGTAAACTTCATGTAGCAAATAGTGTAGTAATATACTTTCCAAAACAAATCAATGAATACAAACACCACCTTTGTTTCCGAGAGTTCTGTAGCGGGGAAGAAGTTAAACAAATACTTTGCACTTTCCCCCCCCCCCTCAAAAGTTTATAATTCCTTGGAGTTTCCTCATCTTGGGAGATTTCTCTTCATTTGTTTAAAGTCCAGATGGCCGATTTACAGGAAGGATGTGACAGAAGAAGGAAGAAACCAACTGCACACAGGCGATAAGAAGCAGTGGAAGGAACCAAGTCAACAACATAGGCAATGGTGTGATAGAGGACATGTGTAGGAATGGTGAGTACAACAGATAAGGTATGTGGAAAAGATCACACGCATTCAATGAAAAAAAAACTAGGAGGAAGAAAACTGGCAAGGTATATGGAGGGTATTCCAGACCCAGAGGTCATCGTGCCCATCCTTGCAATAATTCCAAATGGTACCACTCTTTGTTACTTTTTAAACAACAAAGAGCCTATATTAAGACATTCCCCATTTCTCATCCATTTTTCAAAGGAGAAAAAAAAAATGCAGATTCCATTCAGTGCTACATCCAGTCAATCCTGCAGTCACGTGAAAACTTGCAGCACATGCTTTTTTTTTTAGTTTTCATTGCTAGACTCTTCTATAACCAGTCAGGAAAGCTAGGTTACAGTACATCTAGTGATATTAAATGGACACATGTTCTAAATATTCTGCTCAAAATGAATATAGTCTTTCTTTTGAATAGACAGGAATCTTTAATTTAGTAGAAAGCAAGGCTGAATGTTTAATATTATGTTGATATAGGTATTACGGGGATCACAATGGTATTACGGGGATCACAATGATGTTAAGAAAAGGGATTTAAGTATATCATTCAAAACCTTGGTGGACACACTCTTTCAGATTACTTATTTATATCATGAAGGATCCCATTTGTGCAATAAAGGGCCTGTAAGAGCTGAGCAGCTGATGGAAAATATGCCAGACCAGGGCAGAGGAAATACACATGAAGTCATTGTGAAGATTCAGAAAGGGATAATTTTTCTACAGGATTACATTCCTTGACTCATAATTCCTCTTAAGTTAGTTTTCCTCAACCTGATGAACTTGAGAAGTGCTGAATTATTATTCTAAATATTCCCAGGGAGAATAGCCAGCATGTGGGAAGAAGATAGGCGTTGCAATGCAATATTACTGGAAAGAAAGTGGATGGGACTAGCCATCCTAAAATATCCTTCAAGACAGCAATACGCTACAATGCAATCAAATAGATATACAATCAGATTCCGTGCACTTTGCAGACAGCCAATATCAAGAGGAAGTAAAAAAAAAAAAGTGAACCTTTTATTCTAAGCAAAAGGCACAATTGTTCAAATGTACTCGATGAACCAGAAATCTGTCCACTAGTGGAACAGAGGAGGGAGTGGTTGGCAAGCTACTTCGTAAGCCAACACTTATAAATCCAATACTTCAATAACCAGCTGGTTTGTTCATTATACAATGTGTGGCTGCTTTTAAGCTATGTTTTTGTTGCTAGCCCTGTAGAAACAAATCTGCATCCAAGGTAATGGTCAGATAAGCAGACACCAGACTGACCTATCAATAGACAAAGTCCAAAGTACAGATGTGTGCTATGCAAACACATAGAAGACACCTCCCCAAATGAACATATAACTGGAATACAGGTAGTCCTCCACTTAACAACAGTTCATTTAGTGACCATTCAAAGTTACAACAGCACTGGAAAAAGTGACTTATGACCCCTTTTCATACTGAAGACCGCTGCAGCATCCCCATGGTCATGTGATCAAAATTTGGATGCTTGGCAACTGGTTCATATTTATGACCGTTGCAGTGTCCCGCGGGTCACTTTTCGCGACATCCTGACAAGCAAAGTCAATGGGGAAGTCATTCACATAACAACTGTGTTACTAACTTAACAACTGAGTGATTCACATAACAACTATGGCAAGAAAGGTCGTAAAATGAGGCAAAATTCACTTAAATGTCTCACTTAGCAACCTAAATTCTGGGCTCAATTGTGGTCGTAAGTTGAGAACTACCTATACAGATAATTCTGCCTGAATTACTGGGTAGCTAAAACCCATCTCCATCTGGTTTCCAACTATCATCTATAAAGCAGGTAGGCAAGAGACTAGTGCAGAGGTGACAGCTTCCTAAACTGCATGTAGAGCCGTGGTGGCGCAGTGGTTAGAATGCAGTATTGCAGGCTAATTTTGCCCACTGCCAGGAGTTCGACCCTGACCGGTTCAAAGTTCACTCAGCCTTCCATCCTTCCGAGGTTGTTAAAATGAGGACCCAGATTGTGGGGACGATACGCTGACTCAGTATACCGATTAGAGAGGGCTGTAAAGCATTATGAAGTGGTATATAAGTCTAAGTGCTATTGCTAGTTTAGTTTATTGGCTTTCTTCTTTTCTTCTTCCCTTCTCAATTTATACATATTAAAAAAGGAATCTCACTCTGCAAGAAAAATCTACCCATGACTCAACAATGCACCTGACATCTCCCTTTTCATTAAGCCAGAGGATTAAGAATGGAGATTTCACTAAGATTATGCCTTGATTAAATCAAAGTCATATTACTAATCTTCTGAAAATTATCCTCAGAATCATAAGCCTGCAAAGAACTATTTTCATGTTTGAAATCCCCACTTTAGTACACTTACAGGTGGTCCTCAATTTACACAACTGACTCTGGAATTTTGGTTATAATTTGTTGCAGTCGTTAATTGAGTCACCAAATGACTAGACTTTATTTCATTTTACAACTGCTTTTTTATGTCAATCATTAAGCAAATCACATTAAGCGAATTACTTGGTCTCAAATCTGAATCCAGCTTATCGAATGGGTGTTCTTTGCTAGAAAACAGCAAAAAAAAAAAAAGTGCCACAAAATATGATCATGTGACTATGGGATGCTGCAACAGTGGTAATGCAAGCTGGTTGCCAAACTCCTGAAATGCCATCACAGGTCCACAGGAGTGGTTCAGCAATCATAACTTTGAGAATGGGTCATAAATAAAGTCCATTGTAACTTTGAATGGTTGTTAAGCAACTGGTTGTAAGTCAAAGATTACCTATGTAAGTCTATGAATCCTTTGCGCCATAAGCCAAAAAGTAGAAAGCAAACATGGATTCATACACTGGTAATTTGGAGGATATCAGCATAAAGATCTGACTTTGCAGTAAAAACCAAACTAAGATATCTTTCAGAAAAAGCAAGGAATCTGCTCATTAGGCTCCCTGATAATACTTCCTACATAGACCTGTAGTATTTGTATTTTCAGCCTTTTGTGCCCCATCATTTTTCATCTGGGCTTCTCTGAGGTCACAGCTTTGCAAGCTGTACTAGTATGGCACAAGGAGAAAGGAATTAAACCCTTAGATTGAAGAGATGGCATTGCTCAAACAATAAGCCTAACCTGTAACCAACAACTCAGCTATCTTACTGAAGTTGATCAATATCTAGATGCAAAACCAAGCTGGTGGCAGCCCTTGCTGACTTAGACTGATCTTGAAAAAGCTAAGCAAATTGATATTTGGATGGGAGACCAACAGGAAATCCTAGGGCTGTAGGAAGTCAATAAATTCTGAAAGCAGTATCAAATCACTTCCATCTTATTGCCAAAATCCCTAGGAGTCAAGATCAAGTCAAGGATAACTTGACCATATTATGGGTAAAATGCTGTCTGGAAACTTCATACATACTACTCGTATTTCAGGAATGGCTAAGAGAGTCTCAATCATCCAAGCCCTGGTTGTCCCAAAGGTACTTTTTCCAAAAGGCAACTGGACTTTCTTGGGTTTTTTTTCTTTGAAAATGTTTCATTATGTGAATGTGAAAAAGTTCACATTCTGGACAAAGAGGACCACCAGCTTGAAAGAGGGGTCAAAGGAACCATCTATGTTAAAACTGAACAGTCCTCCCTCAACAGAGGGGGAGAGATATGACACCCACCTATCTCCTGCCTACAACGCAGTCCTTTCAGCAGTCCCAAGGTTCCACACCTATTTTACACTCTGATTTGCGTGACTTTGAGGACATAGATAAACCTCCAAGTGGCCTCAACTACTCTCAGTGACCTAACAACTCATCCTCAGAGTGCTAACAACCAGATGACTGCAAAGAATATACGGTAAATATTACCATCCCCCTACAGTCAGTTAAAACTGAAGAAGCTTCTTGAATGAGAAGCAAAACTTTTTCAAAGGGAAAAAAACCCAATAAAGTCCAGTTGCTGTTTGGCAAAAGCACCTTTGGGAATATTTCAGGAAGGAAGGAAGGAACAAACACAGAATGCAGACATGTAAGAAACTACCCATAGACAGACTAACTTAAATTTCACCAAATAATTAGAATACAGGAAATTTATTCTTCACCTATTTGCTTCTGTAAGATCTGTATCCAAACTCAGAATGGAGACTTTTGAGAGAAGAGGAAAATTGGTTGGAAAAAGTTTGGGAGGTTTTTTCCTTCACTGATTCTCAAAAAGATATTGTAAATGCACTTGCCTGTGTTGGAAGAGCCAGGGACAAAAGAGAATTCTGTGTTAGGAATTTAAGCTTGTTTCCAAAAATAATTTCTGACTTCCTCCTCTTTGTTCCCAGCAGATCTGGCACTCTCCCTTAAAACCTAAAGCTCTGTTCATCTTTAGTGAGTTATGTATATCCAACCATCTCCATTCTCAAGTGTCTTGCCTTTAGTAATAGATGGGTAAAAAAAGCACTTTAGGGGGTTTAGGGGTCTTTGGGGCGGTATTCTAATGGCTCATGGGTCTATTATTTTGTGGTTATTGTTCTTGTTCTAAGACCTAATCTGTAACCATCTATTCAAGGCAATCGCCTTTTTAATCACAGAAGATTGGGGAAGAGAATTTGAAGAACTGTTATTAGAAAACATTGTACTAATCACTCCTTAGTCATTGAAGGGTGCAAAGAAATGGCCACTCTCTACGCAGCCTTTATTGTTTTTATAGAGGTTTTCAAATAGCAATAGATACAGCAGTGCAACAGCATTTCATTGGCTAAAATCTTTTACCAATCCTCAAGAGTAAAAAGCTAGAGGCCATAAACAGGAAAACTTGTTGTTCACCGATTAGCCTTATCAAATTGGCAAGGTCACGTCACATGGTGGTGTGAGGGGGGGGAAGACAGATGCATAGCAAAGGCACAAGCGTTAGGAGGACAGTTTTCTGCACGCAACTTTCGCCTATCTCTTATCTCTACAAAACATAATGCCCCTTTTCTCTATATCGCAAGCACAGTCTATCACATGCAGCATATTTTGTTCTGCAGAGCCTGTGTCCTTTTTGTTTTATCTTAAGCAAACATTCTGTTTACTTGATATATCTTGGAATATCAGTCTTATCTTGACAGTTTGTGTTGCTTTCTCACCATCTCATCTCCCTCCTTCAAACTGTGACCCGACTGTATTCCACATGGCTCTAAATTCAGCATTAAATTTTATTTATTTTTTTACATAAAATGAATACAAGGATCAGAATTCGGAGCTTAATGATTAAGTAATGAAGCATATGCCGTTTTAGAGAGCCAAGTCACTGATGAACCATTACTATCTGTATGATTAACACAATGATTTTCTGGGATTTTTAAGCAGAGGTGTTTCCCAGTTCTACATGGAAGTACTAAGGGTCGGCCCAGCCATTTTTTTTTTTTTTTTTTACCGTATATAAAGCATATGGGTCTGCCACGCTCTTTCCCACCACCCAAGGGAGATCCCTGGAAAAGAGGGAAATTCGCTTATGCTAAACGGTAAAGAAGCGAGAACAGTATAGTAACGCTATTATTATTCTTTCTTTTGAATGACAGGCATTTCCAGAAAACATGCTCGTCATGCTCCAGCTCTTTCGGAAAAAAACACCAAAAAGCAACCGCCGTAGACAAAAAATAAAAAATCCCACAAAATCCCACACCTATTGTATTCTATGTCGCCGCCGCCCCGCGAACCTCTCCGCTCTCCTTAAGAGCGAGCTACCTGCGCAAAGCCACTGATTACGCATGCAGGTTCGGATCCCGATGTCCCTTTGATGCGCAGGCATCCATCATTTCCAATCAACCCAGCCCCGCACTAGCCTGCTCCCAGGAGTACCCACGCCTACAATACAAAGAGCGTCTTTCCTGGCCGCAAAGCAAACGCCGGCAGTTTCTTAAACCGGCTTAAATCTAATCTTTGCCCTGCAAAGCGTTGCAGTCGGTCTCTTCGCCGTAAGGTTGCTTCTAAGTGCTGCGACGCCCCTGGACAACGTTGCTGCTTCAATCCCGCAAATGTAATCCGGCCGGCTCTCCCTGAACCCTGCAAGCAGCCTTGTCCCTATTGACCTATCGTTCCTTTCGCCCACTAACACAGAGCCGCCGAATTCCTCCTCCGCGTTCGCTTTGCAAAAGCCAGTTAATCCCCCCGCGCAGGCGCACATAAGCTCTTTCCCCCCCCCCCCGGCAATTGAACAGACTGTCATTCCCTGACCGAAGCAAATGTTCTGCATCCTTTTGGATCGAAGCAGATACCCCGCTGAGCCCGAAGCATGGAACAATGACTTCAGATTATCTCGTTGCACCCCGAAAGAAACACGAGAAAATTCGATACGCATATGCCGGCTATTCTATAGCTATTTTTCTGCAAAAAAAAAAAAAAAAATCCGCAGAAAACTCTTGGCTGCCATTTAGCCGCCAACCTGATTTTTGCAGTTCAGATCTAGTAGCCTAAGTCCTCTGTCTCAAGCTCCCCGATGTCTCACCATTCATTCCGCCGAGACCTTTCCAATTGCAGCAGATGGGGGAGTGCATCCTATCAGCCCAAGAAGGTGCTAGCCCCAGAGCACGTTCTTGTAGCCGCTACGAAAAAGTGCGTCCCCCTCCGCTCCAGTCCCCCCCGACTTACCCAATGCGGAACAGCAAGTGACCCGCCACAGCCATGAGCATTTGGAGCAAACGCTGCCTGTTCCCGCAGCGGTAAAAAGCGTAACTCAAGGCCCGGCGACCCGAAACGGCGAGAGCGGTTATCAGAGCCCAAATCCACAGCAACCAACCCAGCCAAGCCATGCTCCGCGGAAGGAGCGCGACGAGCCTCCAACCCGCCCCGCCGCCTTCAAAGCAGCCCTCCCATCTCCCGCACAGAACATTCGGGACCCGCCCCCCTTGGATCGCCCAGGATTTCGCAGCTTCGAAGCGCGTGGTCGGTCGCCGCTTCCTTTCGCCACCGTGAGGCGCCGCGATCGCCCAGTTTAGGAGGATCCACGCTCAGCGCTGCCCCGCCGGTTATATGCAGCATAGTCCGCGGTCTGGCGTGGGAGATGCGCTCGCGCTTTTGCTGGCTTAAAGCTGCCTTACTGCGGATTCAGATCCACGAAAGGGTAGCAGCGGGTGACGGACGTAAACTGCAGCGGGCAAGAAGCAGGTTGTTTTAATTCCCAGGAGCCTTTGCCCGCGCCACTCCTTGGTTGGATTGATGGGAATTGAAATCCAGACTTTTAAAAGGTTCTCAGACTTTCTGTCTCGAAGCCATGAGATGCGGCTGCTTAAGGTATGGTATCTGGAAAAATGCATGTTTGAATTGTCCTTATAAAAGGCATTCGTTTCAGCAATTCCGAATTTGAATTATAGCAGGTGTCTCTAAGACCGATTCATTGCATGAATTCACTAAATTGTACTTGATCTTAGAAATAAGCCCCACTGTGGTGAGGGAAGTTAGCCCAGAGAAGGAAATATTAAAAGGGCAGAAAAATATATTTTTCTTCAAGGATTTTTTAAAACCAAACCTGGCCCCAAATCTATCTCTCTGCCCAAGCAAGAGCTAGCCCCATACAAATGCAGATGTAAAACCATCAGAAAGTTGAAGCCAGAGCACTCAAGAAGACAAAGAGAAAATCTGCATGCCCCACCTAAACTCTAGGAGTCATTAGCCCCATCACCTGGGAAGCAGGATATGATAATAGGATTAAACCACAGATATCAAGGCCTAGAAAAACACTCAGAAATAGCTTCAAGGTTCATGCCACAGGAACAGGAAACTATTCCAAACAAGGCTAGAGGGGGTATAAAAACCTGCCCTCTGTTCTTTTTTGCAAGGACTATCTTTCTGCTTCTTCAATAAACTGTAACCTTCTTCCCAAAGCAGTCGCCATGTTGCTTATTTATCCCCGGCTTGGATGAACCAGGATGCAGACTTACTTCTGACAGTGGGATCTTTGATGCTCTCGGAGCTTGATTGTTTTCTTGGAGACCTTACCCAAACTAGGTAAAAGCATCAGCACTGATGATGTTATCTAGTTTAAGTAATGTCTGCAAGAAAACAACCAAGCTCAGAGAGGGTCCTTGGTGTTCTCTGAGCTTGGTTGTTTTGTCGCAGATGTTTCATTACTCAAAGTAGGTAACATAATGTGTGTTGCTGATGTTACCTAGTTTGGGTAATGTCTCCAAGAAAACAACCAAGCTCAGAGAGCACCAAGGACCCCTTATACCAGTGGTTCTCAACCTGTGGGTCGGGACCCCATTTGGGGTCGAATGACCATTTCATGGGGGTTGCCAAACAAGGCTGTCCTCCATTTTTTCCTCCTTTTCTTTGGCCACGCCCCTGGCACCTGGTGATGTATAAGTGGTTGGGGGTCACCACAACATGGGGAACTGTATTATGGGGTCGCAGCATTAGAAAGGTTGAGAACCACTGCCTTATACCGACCTTGAGCTACAAATATTCTCCTTTATTAAGCCCCACTGAATTCAGCATTAAACTTTTGTCAGAGGCTATTGAGTATTTTCATTCAGGCAACTTTCATTTTCTTACCTCTCAAACATACAAGTGCATTCTCCCTCACTGGGGTATTTTAATTTTGAAATGCATGTGTGAACAATGGCATCTGTTGAATATTCCAAGCACCTGACACGTGAAGTCTTGTTTAGGAGCATTTAAAAAGGTGTTTTAAATATACAAAATTTGTTTCAAGGTTGTGCTTTGGCTAATTTTAAGTTACTTAATCAACTGGGTTTATTTCTGAAACACATGGATGTATATAGGTATGATCAAGCTGCTATTTCAGAGGCTATTCTGAAAAAGATCATTCATCCTTCTACCCTCTTCTTTTTATCTCAGGGCATTTCAGAGTTTTGTTATAGGAAGCTGCAGTATGGATCCTACCTTGTAGAAAAGAGAAATATGAATATTAAGGAATCCAAAGAAAAGTAATTATTGGAAGGTAAAATTGCACTTACACATATGTTAACATTGCCAAATATCTCTAAAGGTACAGCTTGTATTGTAATTTTTCCCAGTCAAATACATACCTCTTGAGAAATAAGGCTCTCTAAATTGGATTTATTTCCAAAATGTTTTTAGACATCTTGTCTAATTATTTTTCCTGCATATCCCTTTATCTCCAAATACTGATATTCGTATTTAACTTTGTCACACACATAAATGTAAAATTTCTGTTCTATATCCAGTGCACATAAAAGCTCAGTATGATTTAGTTGATGGCAAATTAGAGCTAACATTTTTACATTCTGGCCTTTTCGTTATTGCTGTATTATTGAATATGGTTACCTGCTTGCTACTGCAGTTCTTTAAACCACAGAACTGGAACTACCAAGGGTAATAAAGAACAGTTGTAATGATGGGAACAATTTCAGCTTTATTTCAATATGAATTATTAATAATACCGTGTAGTATGCTATACAACATTTTCAATCCATGTGCATTTCCACAGTGAGATGTTGAATTTGGTAATATCAATAAGTATCTATTGCAAAACAGGGATTTGTGGTTTGAATTGGTTTTTAAATAATGGAGAATTTGCATGAGAAATATTCCAGCCATGCTCCAGTGTAAAAGTATCCTGCTTCTATATAATGGAGAAAGCTGTAGGGAAAGCTGTGCTATATGAGCCACAAAATGCTAGAAGCAGAGTAGTTGTGTGATGAATGTTACATTAGCTTGGGGAATAATTTCTGAGTGATTCTGATAAACGCAGCCTTTTTTCCTTCTGCTCTTTTTAAGGATATAATGCATATTTATGAGATTTGTTTTTTCTCCTCCCCCCATACTCAGTAGGGTTCATTGAGATGATGTTCATCATCATCCTTTGTATTTATTAAGAAACTCAGCAGACTTTAAGAGAGAACAAATTCCATGGTGATGAGTAAAGCAGGACTGCTCTGCTATCTTCCAGCTTAGTTTCCTTGTTGACCACAAAGAAAGACGTTTTCTGGATAGTGCAGAATTTAGTAGCAGGCTAGTGGATCACCCCTCCATTCTTCTTCTACCAGTATTTGTACACTAACGGTTTCTTTTTACTAGCCTGCTAAAAATCTGAATTTCCAAGCATGTTGCAGATGAGTGGGCTTCCCCTACTTTATGGCAGCCATGGGAATTCAGACTGCATTAACCTCCTCGAAAGCCACATTAAAAATAGAAAAGTCAATTGAGTTTTGCACATTTAATCCCAGATTCTGTTTGGTATTTTAATTCTGTTTTGTATTTCTCTTGAGGGGAGGGCAAAAAGGTCAAGCTGGTGGCTCTGGAAATTTCCCGTTTTTGCATATATCATGCATGTAATAAACCTAAAGAAAGAAGTGGGCTTCAATCATGGTTGCAGCCACCACTTTCACTTTTTTGATGCCCTCTCTGCTGACTTTTCATACTTCTGTCCTTTTTTCCTCTTCTCTTGGTTATTTTAGCCATCCTCAGTTACACTACAACACGGGTGTCAAACTCACTACGTCACATGACGTGTCGCGACATATCGCGACTCTTTTTGCATTGCCGGCAATGGGGTGGGCGTGGCTTCGGTATGATGAAACCGGCCCATGGGGGCTGCAGTTTGACACCCCTGCACTACAATGTCCCCAAGCCTAGCCAGATGTTAGAGATTCTTTCTCATTTACCATAGAAACAGCTGAGAGGTAGATGGACAACAGGAAAAACTTCCCCCTTTTAGGCAGAACCAAAGCAAATTTAAATCACCTTCATTTCATACTCTTGAGGTGTTCCTTCCAGGGAATGTAACTGAGCCAATTTCCATTTAACTCCTCTTTGTGTCCCTTGTCCAAACCAAAGGCATATTTATTTATGAGACTTATATACCGCTTTAAGTGCAAGAACTCTCTAAGCGGTGTACACCAGTAAGCAATGTATATATATATATTTACATTGCCCCCAACAATCTGGGTCCTCATTTTACCTACCCCGGAAGGATGGAAGGCTGAGTCAACCTTGAGCCGGTGAGATTTGAACCGCTGACCTGCTGAACACAGTCAGCTAAAGTGGCCTGAAGTACTGCACCCTAACTGCTGCGTGTCCCTTCAAGTATCTTTCTAGTCTGGGCCACCAGATCATGTACCAACACCCAGGCTGATATTGAAACTCTTCTCCCCCCCAAAAAAAAAATCAGTGAACAAAGCATACACTATTATTTGTTTATTTTTAAAGAGCACTAGAATGCCTTGGCTTATTTGTCTGGTGCACTGCTTCCTTAAAACGATTCAGAGATATTTGTTTGCAGCTCAGGGCAGCATACAAGATTAAAAATTCACAATTAAAAAATCCATAATTTAAACCCCCCGCAGCCCCCAGCCCCAAAATTCAGGCTCCACCAATGATAGGTTTGATGTGTCTATTTTGAAGATGCCTCTCAGCAAAAAGTGCCTTAATTTAACTCACATTCTATTTGGTTTTGATTGCATTTTGCTTCAACAAAACAATGTCAGCCAGTTTTTTTTTCTTTGCATCCAAGCTGCTTTCCCATTTTATTGTTTCTCAATTAGATCACCAGAAAATTAAACAAGGAACTACTTGCAGAAACATGTCTTGATTGTTTGTGCTGAAAGTTAAAGCAAATTAAGAAAAAGTAAATTAAATTAAAATACACTTTTGATATTCTCAGTAGTGTGCATGCCAAAATGTTTATTCATGTTCTCAGAGATTTAGTTTAATTTACCCTTTTATGAAAAAGTGTGGTCAATATTGTCAACTGTTAACAAGTCATGTTCCTTTAAGGGGGGGGGGGAGAGAGAGAGAGAGAGAGAGAGAGAGAGAGAGAGAGAGAGAGAGAGCAGTCTGTTGCTATAGAAACCAGTACATGCATTGCAACCTCTTTGTAAAAAGAAAGAAAACACAGATGAGAGAAGGTGATTTGCTTGCAGCTGCATAGTTTTTCCTTGCTTCTTTCGAGGCTCATTCCCTTTTGGGGAAGAGATATAATGGTGAACATATTTGGGATTTATTTTTGTATTTAAAAGATTTGTGTGTGGTCTTCCATCACACAGGACCGCTGTTGTTGAGTGTAACGGGTGAGAACAAGAGCCGCGAGGCGATGCTTGGGGCAGGAAACATTTCAGTTTTGGAGCCATTCTTTCTGTACTCCTGAATTCACACGTTCATTGTTAAACCCGTTATCAAGTTGGGACTTAATGCGTGTTATCAAACGATTTCTGATCGATGGTGACCCTTCCATCTCTACATAGGGCACAAGGAGACTGTCCACCAGGAGCTGCCAGTTCCACCAATTTTAAAGTAATTACGGCTTATTTCTTCCCCCCTGGATTCATTTCACTCCTAGAATTATCTCTGGATTGGACCCAGGTTTGGCTTGTTTTCTATGCAGGTTGATGGGATGGGATGTTTGATTAATGTGCACTTTCCTTACCACTCTATCCTTTTGAGTACTTGTATCATAAATTATTTCAGACTTTACTGGGGTTTTTTTACCTTTTTTTAGCCTTGCGATGAAACCCCATCTCTGAGTTGGCCTGTCTGTTTTGTTTTGTTCTGTATTGTTTTGTTTTGTGTTGTTTTGTGATTTAGGTGTTGTGTTTGTGTTGAGAGTCAAGTCTACATTTGGGCGTTTCACAGGGCTCTTTCCATTTTTCAAGAATCCTAATTCTGTGTATAGAAAGTTATCTATTGTCATATTTTCTCCAGAATTCTTCATGGAGAATCATGATGTAATTTAGTCTCTGTGAGATGGAGAAAAAAATAGGTGATATTAAGGGGCTAAAGATAAAAAGCCACCATTGGGGTGGGTGGGTTAGGCTGCTTTAACTGCCAGATTATTATTATTATTATTCAAATAAATCTGAGAATGCTAGCTTTTTGAAAATTTTGGAAGAAAGCCTTCCACTACATTTTCAGAATTCCCTATGGAGAGGCAGTGGCTGTTCAAATTTGTAATGTAGATATATTGAGCATTCTTAAACTTTCATGGAGGAGTCAGCCAAACTCTTATAGCAAGGTTCAGAAAAGTGTCATATTCATTCATTAAACTGTAAAACATGATTAAAATGGTGTGAATAGTGTTTTCTGAATTTCTGGATTTACTCCATATAGACTGGAGACCCAGAGTTATATAATCATTAAGCTGCCATCCTAGAGACAGGAGATTGGAATTCTAGTCCTTCCTTAGGCATGAAAGCCAGCTGGGTGACCTTGGACTAGTCCAGGGGTAGGCAACCTTGGCTCTCTTATGACTCGTGGACTTCCAGCTGGCTCAGGAATTCTGGGAGTTGAAGTCTACGAGTCATAAAAGAGCCAAGGTTGCCTACCCCTGGACTAGTCATTCTCTTAGTCCAAGGAAGAAGGCAAAGGCAACCTACTTCTGAAAATAAAGCCAAGAACACTGCAAAGATTAATCCAAGCACTCACCAAGAGTCAAAAATCTTCAAAGGCTTTCTTTTACACATACACACACACACACACACACACAATTTAGATTTCCATAATTATTAGATAGGGGAGAAGTAAGCACAAAGGGGGGAAAATACATATATTCTGCCATGTGTTTTTTATTGTTATCACTCTACACAACTAATGCCAAATCTCAAATTGTCTGTCTCTCTGCCTACTTATCTAACCTACCTACCTAACCACTTGCTAAGTAATCAACTTTTCTGGTTACTTTTTCTGATATTCATTTTATTTAATTGGAGACTGTGATTCTAGGGTTTGTGTATCTGTCTGTCTGTCCACACATATATATGTATGTTTACACAGAGAATATGAAATTTCCAGATGCACATTTGGCCAAGAATTTTATCTCAGTTGTGCAGCCACAAAACTAACGGCATAATGCACACATCTGTCTGGTTTGGATTGCTGGAATTTAGCTACCTTGTGCAAAAGATGTGGGAAGGATCAGATCTAAATCTGTATGAAACGAAATTCTGTATAATTTTACAATACTATCCTATCCACATCAGCTTTTTTTCCCATAAGTTGTATTCATGCAGTCTCAGTTATCCCTGCCTTTGGGATGTAAGCCTATATCACAGACATGTCAAACACAAGGCCCGGGGCCAGAGGCAGCCCGCGAAGTGGTTTCATGTGGCCCGCGAAGCCATCTTGGAAACAGTGAGGGAACAGCCCCCTCTGCCTTGGCCCTGGCCCAGGCCAGCTGGGAGCCAATGTACAATTTTGTGGTGGCCATCTTGACACTTGCCCCGGTGGACCATGCCTTGGCTCTTGCCCCAGTCCCATCCCCTTCTGCCAGAGACCCTCAGATCTGTCCCACTCCTGGCCAGGCCCCCATAGACACCCTTGACGCGAATGATGTAGAACTGGCCATGCCCACCTGATAGCCACACCCACTCCTTCCATGCCCACCCAGTAGGCTGCACCCACTCTGGCCACACCCACCCCGCCCCCCCAGGGCAACTGCAATGCTGATGCGGCCCTCAGTGAAAGTGAGTTTGACACCCCTGCTATATCATCTCAACAGCAGTAATAACTTTTTATAAAAGGACTTCTGTGTGCAGGGATAGGATAACCTGAATTATTCCATTTCCTCACATAGCATTTGACTACAATTGCAACCACCCAAGTTATGATATTACTGTTTAGGAACCTTATTATATGGATAAAGAATATTATTACAATTTGCCACTATTAACAAAATCCACCTCCTCTTTTCAGAGCACTACCATTACTGTGAAAAATGAATCCTTCCATCAGTTCCAGGTCTCGAAGCTCTCATTTGTCCACGCAAAAAAAGTTGTCTGAAGAGGCAAAAGAAGTTGAACTAACAGAAAGAATTCCAGCTGCCAGCAAGGAAGCAGTGGACTTCCTTTCCCTCATTGGTGAGTGGCCTTTTAATATAGGACATCTACTCTTGTGTTGTTTATTTCAGAATTGTCTTTTAAGCAATAGCTATAGTTAATGTGAATATTGTGTTTTACTGAATTTTACAAAATAGGTATCTCGGAGAAATGTAGGTAGGGTGCTAAACCAGATTTTTCTGCACCAGACACCTTCTAGTTCTGCTGTGACTACAATTCCCAGATTTCATAGCTATGATGGGAGTGTAATCCTAACACAGCTGAAGGATGTTTTGCTAGAAAAGGATGCCCAGAATGCAGTACTACGAAACCTGGGTTTTCAAAATCATAATAGATGCAACAAAGTGAGAGATTTATATCAGATCAAAGTACACATGAAGATAAGTGTTTACCCTCTCCTCTCCAACTGTAGTTAGGAATTCTTTCATCCAGACGCCTATTAAGACAGAAGATCTTTGAGACCAGGCTAATGTAGTTTGGCCCTCCATTCCTAACAGCTAAGGAATATTTTCAATCAGCATGAGCATGAATCTTCTAATGTTAACATTCTAGTCTTCAGCTTCCAATCCACATTAATTTGTTAGTTAATTTTATTTAAAACATTGATATAGCTACCCATCTTAAAACCAAACTTTGAGAGGCTTACACTCAACAATAAAAATCACATTTACAATTACAACAACAATAAAACTCAAAAAGAAAAAAAGAGAGAGAAAAATCTGGTGCCACAACCACATTTTCTTCCTATGATCTCAGCCATCACAGTGCCTATGGGAACAGCCAGGTTCTGAGTGCTTCCCAGAAGATTAAAAGGAGAGTGGGGATTGACAGGTCTCCAGGGAGAGGGTGTTCCATAAGGTAAGAGCTGCCATGGAAAAGGCAGGCTTCCAAGACCCCATAATGCTCATGGAAAGGAACCTAGAATGTGCCTATCCATTCTGGTGGAAGAGACAGAGGATATCCTACAGATAACCTGGTCCCAAGCCATATGGTTCTAAAGATACAACCAACACCTTGAATTGCATCTGGAAGGGGACTGAAATCCGGTGGAGCTTATGCAGCAGGAGGTGAACTTAGGTGAATCCAGAAATGACCAACAGTACCCAACACTGCACAATTCACTGCATTCTGCACCAGTTGTAGTTTCTGGATAGTTTTCAAAGGCAGCCCCATGTAGAACTCACTGAAAATAGGAAGTGATCAAAGCATGATTGCTGTGACCAAGGCCTCCCAATCCAGGAAATGGTCCAATTGATGCACAAGATAAATATATGAGAAGGCCTCCCTAGCCATAGCTGCCACCTGCTCCTGAGCAGTAGATGTGAGTCTAAGAAGACCCCCAAATTGGGCACTAGCTCTGTCTAGGGGAGTGCCACCCCATCCAGAGTCAAAGATGGCATGTCACTGCAACCTAGGAGTCAAAAATCCAAAACCACCCCATCTTGCCAAGATTGAGTTGGTTGCTCCCCATCCAGATCTTCACAGATTCCAGGCACATTCAATTTCCTCTTCTCTTCTCAGCCCAGATTGTTGATCTAATTGTCATGACATTCTATAGTTTTACAAAGTTGTGTTTTGGCATCAAACCATGCTTTACTTAACAATTCCTACTTTTCATTGGCTCCTTGAGCCTGCTCTGTCTTTGAATAGAAAAGTCTGTTGAAAATGTACTCTCCTGAATAGGAAAGTATTTGTGAGCCATTTGTGGTCCAAATGCTGGTTGAAAGACAAGAGACTTAAATAATTTACATAATTCACATAACTTAAAGCTGTCCAGTTCCATAAAAGATGGCCAGATGTTTGACTGTGTTTCCATGAGACTAAGCAGACTTAATATGCCTTAAGTGCAGTTTTTACACATGGTTGTTATTGTGTAATTCATTTCCCTGAGTTCTGAGAAAAAGAGGGTTATTTGAAATTAACCCTCATCTGATCTATAGACAAAGATGAAGGAAGCAAAAGGTGGGCTGCATTCTCTCCCCTCCCCCCCCGCCCCTATTTGCTTTCACACAGATATATTCCACATGGGCAAATTGAAGATGAAACCAGGACAAGAAAGTAGTAAAGAGAGGTTCTAACCCAGTGATGGCGAACCTTTTAGAGAACGAGTGCCCCAAAAACTGACCCCTGTCACTGCTTCGCCTCCCATCCTGCCTGCTCTGCCCCTACCTGCCCCCTGCCCCGCCCACCCGCAGGGCCCTGCACTGCCTCCACGGTCCACCACAGCAGATCGCCGTGGCAGCCCTGTAGCACCATGGCAGCCACACCCTCCGCCCACACCCCACAGCATCATCTGCATGCTATGGGGCGCAAGGGCGGAGTCTTGTCCCTGCTGCCTGGCTATGTCCTTGACTGCGCTGCTCTGTGCGGGCCGTGCCTGGGGCGACTCTCCTCCAGGGGGGGGCTGCTGGTGAGGAGGGGGTCATGGGGGAGGCAGGGCTTTGGCGACGTTGTGTGTGCCCACAGAGAGGGCTCCGAGTGCCGCCTCTGGCACACGTGCCATAGGTTCACCACCACTGCTCTAACCCAACTGGGCCGTTCCATTCATGGCCAACTGGGCCATGTCGATCTAAGAGTGAGCAAAATTTTCTCCCTGTCTTCCTGAAGATGAAATTGCTACATCTCATTTCTCAGAAATAAAAGAAATTCAGCCCTGCCTTTTTGAAGAATCGCTGGTGGCTATTTCAGAGTCTGGAGAGACTATAGGGACGTTTTCCATCTCGGTGAAGTGGGCCTGCTATTCTCTGGATGGCTGGCAAGAAGAAGACTGTTTCCTGGTCCGTGCAAACAGCAAAGTGGCAATCGATGGGGTGCCTTGCAAAATCTCCCTTACAGGTAAATTCAGTGCACTAATTCAGCATAAGCCAGTTTGGTCTAGTCTAGTGGATAAGGCACCAAACAAATTAGCATAATGATAGGGAGAAGAGAAAGACTAGACACATTGCTATGCCTAAATGCGAGCTTCCATTTTTGAAATTCCCATTCACCAATTTTAGAAACGTAGAGTTAATGATGGTAGTTAGAATTATTCAGTTTGATACTCTTTTCCCTTATTCTGATCCCGATATTTGATCTAAGGTTGCTTTGGGCTTCTTTATACTTCTGGAACATAGGTCTTCAGTGAGCAGAATGTTTGACCTACTATATTAATTACACATTTAATATTTACTAGATCATTAAAACATTTTAATTCATGTCCTAATCGGCTGGATCCTACCAGATTTATTTAGAAATCTCATTAAATTTTCTTGTATGCTTTTTGGTATTAATTGCTTTACCATAGAATATAAATACTATATAATATAAATAAAAGCTAAGTAAATATCTGTACAATAGATACTAGAAGCTGCCAGCACTAATTTTCATGGCATTTACAGATGTAGTAAAAAAAAAAAAAGTTAGCTTAGAATTGCATTCAATAGTGGTCTACATATTTTGTGTGACGTGTTACTCCTTGCAGCTATCAGCTCTTCAATTATTTCCTATTCCTTTCTGATTAGCAGAATGTGGTTAAAATATTTTTATTATTGCAGGGACATTTTCTAAATAAATAAAAAAAAAACAAAATATTATGTGGACAGTTGCAAATACATCCGTATCATTAGCCATTCCTTGCTGATGTAGTTGTTACAAGCTAGTCACATCTTTACTAATGTAGAATAAAAACAAGAAAATGCAAGGCTAGCATTTTGAGACTCCTCTTTTCCCCAAATACCTCCTTAGCTGCTTTTCTTACTGGAAAGTCAATAGATCAGGACAAGGAATGTAAAAAACTAAATTTCATTCTTGCACAAATAAGATGTTGCCAGGCAAGGTTGGTTACTGTTATTAAAAGCAGTTCACACCAGAACAGAAAACTGTAGACAGACCCTCTGTTGAAAGATGAAACATTTCAAGAATGCCAAGAAATTTCCATGCAACACCAACATGCCAAGATATCCCAGAAAAGTTTTCTCTAACCTAATTTTCCAAACTAAAATTCTTATTATCTGGACCAATGTGGCCATTCAGAGTCATAATTAAACATATCGGGGATATTAAATTGGGAAAAGCTGCCCCAAAGGAAATAAACAGTTGTATCATGGCCTTGATTTCCTACAAATGCCTTTTTTTCCTATCAGGATATGTAACAAAGAAACTGGAGATTTTGGAGCAGCACATTCAGGAAAGTGTGAGGGTGAGTATATTATGTATTTTGCTTTCCCCCTCACTGCTGGCTTCCTTATCCAGCAGGGATCTGACAGTGCTGGAACATCTGTGGCCTCCCACAGATTCCCTCCCCTCCCCAAAGTGCTAAATGTGCAAAATAAATAAACCCTTTAAAAACTCAGGAACAAGTTGGCAGGTGGGTCGAGTAAGAGAAGAGCTACTTGCTAAATGTCAGTAGCAAAAAGAAAAAAGGGGAGGGGAAGCAGAAGCAAGAGCACAGTACTAACAAATTATAGGAAGAAAGTGTGGGTTGTACATGCATGTTTCTAGTTTATCTGAGCAAATGAACAAAGAATTGAGGTTGGTTGCGAACAATGTTCTCTCTTCCACTTTTCTAGACAATGTCACTTTTGTCAATCTCCTTACTTTCAAGAAATTTCTGGCCTTGCCTTTAAGTTTGCTTTCTTTTTAAAGGCTAATCACTCTCAAAAGAGCGATAAACCTGGGTTTAGAAGGATCTCATGTTCAAGTAGTGCTTCAAAAAATGTCAGTTGGACATTATGGGGGAAGATGTCTGGTTTCTACTACACCCCTAGTCAAAATAGTTATGGACGGCAGTGACCGTATAGGAGGGGTTATGCTGACAGCATTGAAAGTGGCCAGTGGCAGAAGCCAACCCCTGACTGCGTGATCAACCAGATTATTGAGAGAGCATGCAGGATTGTATTCATGACAGAAATTGTATTGGGAGAAGAGAGAAAATGCTACTTTCAAACTGGAACAGCACAAGACAAATAAATATAAGCTGATTCTACAGGGCACCCGAGTCATGAGGACAATCCCTAATGATAGTTAGCAAGACATTTTTCATAACACAGGCAGAGGACTGGGAGGATGGGTCTAGATTCCTTCAACCTCTGTCTTGTATTAAAGAGGCATGATGGTTTACTGCAGGGGTCTTCAAACTTGGCCCTTTTATGACTTGTGGACTTCAATTCCCAGAATTCCTCACCCCTGGTTTAGTGGCTTAAAAGATATCGGAGGAGGTCTGTGCTCCTGCGGTTTGAGTCCTACCACTATGTGATGCTCCCGTCACTTGCCTCAGCTCCTGCCAACCTAGCAAACCAGATCAAAAGCGATGTAAATTCAAGTAGATAAATAGATATCACTTTGGTGGAAAGGTAACAGCGTTCCTTGTTTTGCCACACGCTTTGCGTTGTGGCGTGATGTCGTGGAAGCCACATGACTTCAGAAACGTCCTTGGACATCACTGGCTCAAGAGCTTGAAGAAATGGAGAGATGATGAGCACCACCCTCTAAAGATGGCTACAACTTGCAGAGTAAAACCTACAGGGACACCTTTACTTTTTTAAAAAAAAAACTGTCTTGCATTGAGGTAGGTACAAGGAAAAGAAGAGGGCTGCCAGATCTAGATTGCAAAACTCTGAATAGCCATTAAATGGCATTAAAAAAATGGGAGTTTTGCAGAGGCAGTTCCTTCATTAGCCCTTAGAGCTGTTTTGGAGTGTCAGCAGGCACGTGGCTAGAGATAAGCCAATTAATACTTTCAGAAAGCCTTTCATAAACGTTCCTCATCATAGTTCCATGAATAAACAGTAAAATCATGAGAAAAGATGACTTGTTCTATATGGTTTGTTAACTAGTTAAAAAAAAATCACAAGTAACAACGGGCAGTTTATTAACAAGCTTTTTAATTTCCTCGAAATGATTTTGATTCAGGGGTAAGCAATAAGAAGTGGAGGTTACTAAACTATTAGAGTGGGGAAAATCCAAAAGTGATCCTGAAAGGTTCAAGAGAGATCTTTTTTTTTAACAAATTTTATTGTTTTTTTTAAGTTCTTAAAGCGACATGTTCAGGACACACCGTGGTGCTGGGGTAATCAAATATCTTAAAACAAGACATATATACATAATATAATCAATACGTCAAATATTCCCTCTCTTTTTCCCTCAAATAGCATAGTATATTTAAAATATCCAATTCTAGCTTAAATTTATTCAACCTGAACCTGTTTTTAAGCTTTATCAATTTCTACCATAATCAAATTAACTTTAAATAAAAACATTTTCAATTCAAATATCCCTTCCACATATGTTCTACTTTCTTAATTTTATCAAAATCTTATTTGTTTCTTCTTCCATTAATCTCCCTTATTTAGAGTAAAATATTAATCTATTCTGTACCTATCAAATCTATCAATTGATCTATCTCTTCAAGCTAAAAAAAATAATATACCTTAAATCATGTCATTCCATTAAACAAAATTCAAGTCTCCAGTTAATTATCATGACTAATAACGTCCATATCATCAGAAAATCATATCTTATTAAATTTCAATTAACTATTAGTTCACTTCAAATCTGAAACATCTCTTCAATTTTCGTCATTCCATTACATCATAATTTTCATAGAAATAAACCTAACATTCTAAAAGGAACATTCCTAGTATTCTAAATTGTCTTTAATCCCTTATATAGAAAGATATCTTATTTTTAAACAAAAATATTAATCTATCCTAGACACATCTAAATGTATATATTTATCAAACTATTCTCTAGATATCTAATCCTTCACTTAATCAATCTCTTTAAGTTAACAAATTAATATCAAACATTAAATCATCCAACTCTAAGACATCTTTTTATTTCAAACTTAAAATCTCAGTCCTTACATCAGTCCATAGTTCTAGGTTGCCTTTAATCCAATTTAAGAAATTTTAAATTTCATTTTTCAATCTTATTCTAGCTTTCCTCTTTTGCCAGGTAGGTTTCCATAACAGGGCTTCCCTTCCAAATACTAGGTCTCTTTTTGTTGCTTGTAGTGTCACTTGATTTGATACAGACCATCTTGATCTCTGATTTAATCCCAAGAGAGATCTTTTTGAACTGAGAGAATGGACAGCAACCAAACTGCAAATGCAATTCAATTAAATATAATTTAATCATCATTATATGTTTATACATTGGGACGCACTTCACGTATACACTAATGAAGTATCTGCAGCTAACCAGGAAAAAGACTTTGAAGTTGGAATCAATTGCTCAATGAAGAGATCAACTCTGCAGCAGCTCGGAAAAGGAACAATGATTATTAGATTGGTGCTACATCTACAACTGAAATCTCATGTACTGTTCTAATTGCCATAGTAGAGCAAGAAAAACATGTTGGAAGTTGGTATCAAAATGACTGGAGGCATGAACATTTTCCTTAACAAGGGAAAGCTTACTGTAAATGTTTGGGATTCTTTAATTTGAAAAAAGGGCAGCTTGAGGGAAGGACATGATCCAAGTGTGTAAAATCATGCATGGCATGGAAAAAATGTACTAGGAGACGCTTCTGTTAGAACAGTGTTTCCCAAACTTGACAATTTTAAGGCATGAGGACTTCAACTCCCAGAATTCCACAGCCAGCAACGCTGGCTGTGGAATTCTGGGAGTTGAAGTCCACATGCCTTAAAATTGTCAAGTTTGGGAAACACTGTGTTAGAACAATAAAAAATCAGAGACATCTAATGAAGTAAATTATAGGTATTAAAATAGAGAAGAATCACCTTTCCTTCCCTAACAAATAATGGAAGTTCGTAATCAAAAGACTTGATAGTGATCACTGATTTGAATGGCTTTAAGGAGAGATTGGATACGTGTTCGTGGACAACTGGCCTGTCAAAGGCTGTTCTCATGGTCGGGGAGAAAACAGGAGAAAGGGAGTGATCTGCTGTGTCACCTTGAGCTCCCAGTAAGAAAAGCTTTCAGGAAGCTCACAGGCGAAAGTTAACTCAATCCTCAACTAGTTGTGAAGCTTCCACCTCCCACCTGGGACCAATCCTGCCACTTTTCTATGTTCTTTTTTTTGTTGTCGTTGTTTTTCCTGCAGTTTAGAAATCATCCCGTGGAAACCAGGACCCGTGTGGTGAAGCGGCATGACCAACTTTATGTGACCAAAACCATAGTGGAAAAAGATGTGAGTGAAGTGAGCTGAGCCTAAAGAGCCTGGAATACTAGCCCAATTCCCCTCTTCCTCACAGTTCACATGAGTTAGTGGATTACAATCTCTATAGCTTTACCTAGATCTCAAGACAGGGACTAATCCAGCTCCCTTCAGCCTATCAAGATTCCCACACCCATCCAGCCAGGTGTCTGTGAGAGTTTCACCAGCCTCTAAAACCTGCCTAACCTGTTGCTATGAATCCTGTTAAATTAAAACAAATTAACCACAATAAGATAGATTAGGGAAGGCTGCTCTAGTTGATCTTGTCATTTAACTGCCTTATGGAAGCTAATGTGGCACAGGTGGAGAAACCTTGGTGCTAGAGCAGTGGTTCTCAACCTGTGGGTCGGGACCCCATTTGGGGTCGAACGAGCATTTCACGGGGGTCGCCAAACAACGCAGTCCGCCATTTTTTTCCCCTTTTCCTTAGCTGTGCTACTCCCTTTTATTCTATTGGCTTTTGAAAGCCAATAGAATAGACTCTCTTGAATAGAGTCTAATTCTATTGACTTTCAAAAGCCAATAGGAATTGTCCAGGCTGTCTCTGCCCTGCTGAGCCCGCCAAAAGTCCCATTCTGCAAACAGTGCTGCACCAGTTGAGTAATCCTCGACTTACGACCGGTTGAGTAGTCCTCAACTTACGACCAATTGGGGGTCACGGCATTAAAAAGGTTGAGAACCACTGTGCTAGAGCATACAAAAGCCCTTTGCGTCCTGGGCACAGTAACAAATAGTATTACCCTTCTTTATCTGTGATTCACCTTGCTTCCATGCTGCTGCAGTAGTGAATTCCTGAACTGTTGGACTATATAATTTCCCTTCCAATTCTTGATGGTACCCTCAAGACAACATAAGAGGTATTCCCAGCCAGGCTATTTTCATCCAGGTATAGGCTGAACCTGAGGGAGGGATTAAATGTGTCATCAGTCATGAGTCCCTGCGCGCCACAAGAGATTTAAGTCTAGCCCACCTTGAATTCCTTTCTGTTCTTAACTCCTGCTAATTTCCCTTGACTGTTGATAGTTCAGATTCTTGTAATAAATCTTTATACTCATTTGAACTGCCTGAATCTCCTGATTTCCCCAGTGCTTGACACCATGTGATTATTCCCATAACTGCTAAATTTGCTGAAGGGTCTTCAGAGCACACCTTCATTAAGCATCTCTCTAGCACTTATTCTCAGAGGGGCCTTGAGCAAATATTTCCCTATTCATATCTTTCTTGGGGCTTGCAAGCTTTGCTACCCTATCATTTTCATTTTTAAAGACTCCTTTTCATTTAAAAAAAATGCATGGAAAGCTCATATGGCACAAATCAAATACTGATGGTCAGGCTATTCTTGGTTCTTTCTTGGCCTTCTGAGGTAAACACCCATTGTGTAAAAGAAATGGCACGAGGGTGGGAAGTCCTGCTTGGATGTCATTCCTTCCACTGTCCTCTTGGTCGGCTGAAGGAAATATTGTCTTATATGGCATTTGTTATTTTCTGAGGCGTGGGGGTGAATGGCTTCAAGCCAACTTGAATTCTGAAAGTTTGGGGGACATAAATAGGGGTGTGTTAGGAAGGGAGCATGTAAAGTTAATGTCAGATAAATAGATGGCTTTTATCGGAAATGAGAACACTAACACTCCTAGTCTTAACCAGTTTGTGTGGAGAGAGAAGGAGAATTATAACCTCGTATTCCTCTTCCTCGATCTTGCCAAAAAAATGGTAGCTTGGTCTTGGTTGTGCCTTCTATAAACCCCAAACATTTTCCTTCAAGGAGGCCTGCTGTTCTGGTTGTTGACTGAGCTTTTGTGAAGGATGTCTAGCCTTTTCTCTCTCCCTCAGGAAAAGATCAACGTCAGCACGTTTTCTTACAGATGTGCACAACTTGAGGGCCTCATCTCAGAATCTGCCAACTTCTTGTTGCTGCGGGTGATGGCCAGGAGGCAGTCCTTACCACAAAATGCTATTTTCCTCTCATTTGACTCTGACCAACACGTCTGTACCTCTACCTATGTAAGCTCGGGTTGTGGATATATTATAATGGAGCAGCTGGGTATCCAGCAATATAGTAGCAATTCTGTCTTGGAAAGGAATTATAGATTAGTAGTAGTGCACATGTTTTGCCCACAAAAAGTGCCAATGTTAGCTCTGGCATTTCTGGATAAAAACTGGGGGAATCTGCCTGAATCTCTTATCAAATGACCACCAATCAGCTTCAGACAGTAGAAAGTTACATGGACCTATAGTGTCTCTCATTATAAAGCAGTTTCTTGTAGCTCTCTCACTCTACTTTGACTTATCCAGGCATACTGAGTCCTTTCCTTCCTATATATTTATAATTGGTAAGAAAAAAGCAAAGTATGCGTTGAGACAGAGGATAAAAGGGCAAGGAACAGAGGTGTAGCCTGTTTTGATGTTGGCGGATAAAAATGAAGCCCAGATACCTCTGCCCGGAGTTTCTGTTTATCTAGAATAAACTCTGAATGTCTAGAATATCTAAGCCAGGGAAGAAAGATTACCAGCTGTCCAGACTAAAGTGCAATAAATAGATCAGGGGTCTTCAAACTTGGCCCTTTTATGATTTGTGGACTTTAACTCCCAGAATTCCTCAGCCAGGCATGCTAGCTGAGGAATTCTGGGAGTTGAAGTCCACAAGTCATAAAAAGGCCAAGTTTGAAGATCCCTGATATAAATGAAATGTTGAAATCAAGTACTTATTCACTAGAGCAACTAAGATACTGTCTGAACAGCCATCCTTATGCACCTTTCTTTGCCATTTTTGCCAATTCCCTAATCTCCTTCTAGAAAACCCTCGGCTTCCAGAAGCAGAAAGTGAAAAAAGAGGAAGTGGATGTGTTTGTGATTGAAAGGACTGTACAGTCTGTGGAAACGCCCCCACTGAATTGGCAGTTCTACTTCCTACCAGATGGGTAAGAAAACTCTGGTATACCGGTTGTCCCTGACTTACAACCATTCATTTAATGACCATCCAAAATTACAACAGCGCTGAAATTACGACCAGTTTTTACACTTATGACCATTGCAGCATCCCCAGTCATGTGATCAGATTTGTGCGCTTGATAAACGGCATCTATTTTCAATTGTTGCAGGGTCCTGGGGTTCTAGGATTGTCGTTTGCAGCCTCCTTAGGGAACTTCGGACGAGCAAAGTCAATGGAGAAATTCGCGAAATTCGCTTAACAGCTGCATGAATCACTTAACCGCTGTAACGATTCGCTTAACAAAGCATGGCAGAAGTGATCATAAAATGGGGCACAACTTACTTAACAGTTGTCTTGATTAGTAGTGGAAATTTTGGTCATAAGTCAAGGACTCCCTGTAACCACTCCTGTTTCAACTTTTCCTGCATTAGAAGTAGTTAAATAATATTTCTCTAAATCAGCGGTTCTCAACCTGTGGGTCATGACTCTTTTGGAGGTCGAACGACGCTTTCACAGGGGTCGCCTAAGACCATCGGAAAATACATATTTCCGATGGTCTTAGGAACCGAGACACCGCTCCTCTATCCGGCTGCCGCCGCCGCCCTCCTCCACCAGCTCCTCCGCCTCCAGGACGCCCTTCTCCAATAGCGCCTGCTCCTGCCGCCGCAGCACCATTGCGCGCGACCCCGACGCTGCCCCGGGCCGGCTCAGCTGCGTGAGCGGCCGAGCCAGGTCTGGGCTGCTCCTAGTGCTGCCACTCGACTGTTCCACCGCTGACGCCACTGCTGGCTGAGCTGAGCTGCGGCGCCGAGACGGTCCCCACGCCTCCTGATTGCCCAGCCGCACTCCACCCCCAGCTACCCTCCGCACCGCACTGGAGCCTCCCCCACGCCACCCAGCCCACCTCCCTTGCCGTCGGAGGCCGCCTCGGCCCTCTGACGCCCAGCGCAGCCCTGGGGCTGGCGGGCAGGAGAAGCTCCTTCCTGGCTCACCAGGCTCCAGGCCTCGGAAGCGGCCAGGCGGCGGGGAAGAGGGTGAGGCGGCGGCGATGCCTGCATGTGCATCAGAGGCCGGCTGGGCGGGGAGAAGCGGTGCCTTCCCAGCAGGAGCTGGCGCTCCAGCCGCATCCCTCTCGTGTGCGACGAGTTGGGGAAGGGTTATGGCGGTGAAGGGCTGCACGGCGTGGAAAGGGGCTCCTGCGACCCCGCTGCTGCGATGGCACTCAGGAGGCTGGAGGGGCAGGCAGGTCCCGGGGGGGCGGCTGGGAGAGGGCAAGAGGTGCCGGGATGAGGATGGGGGGCTCCAGGTTGGCGGGAGCTAGAGGGCGGCCAGCGGCTTCGAGGCGCGTGGATCGTCCTTGTGGCTTCCGAGGGCCCGGTGGTGCCACCGCTTGGTTCTCCGCCAGAGCCTTCCCCTCCTCCCCGGGCAATTGTGCGGAGCTGCTTGTGCATCCTTGCCTGCAAGGCTGTGTGCCCAGGCTGAAACACAGCACTTTTCCTACCGCGTCTCCGATTGGTCAAAGAGGCAAATGTGATTTCCCTTTCCCTAGTTTTTTTCATCTGCACTGGAAAGGACAATTTGGGCTATTTTATTACCGGTACCTGTTGCTTGTTTTATTACTTGTTGCCTTTGCTGAACCAGGGAAAATTGGTTAAAGTGATTTTCAGGAGCTGCAGAATGCCTCCAAGTAAAACCACAGCAATTACCCGGCCCATTTTCCCTGCTAGGGCATCTGTGTGTGTCTACAGACCTTATTGGACTACCATCCCCAACAGCCCTAAAAAGCACTGTGGAAGAGTGGGGAATGCTGGGAGATGCAGTTCATCACCATCTGGGAAAACATGACTCTCCAAAGATCCTTCCTTCCTCCCTCCCTCCCTCCTTCCCTCCCTCCCTCCTCCTGGCTTTCTATCAATCGAGGCAGATTGCAGAGCCGCGATCCACTCCCACGAGCCGGCAACAGGGCCCCTGAAATCAAAGGAGAAAACCTGTTTCGAGGCTGTAAGAAAGGATCCCTCTCCCCTACCCGGCCCCCGCCACAAGCAGCGGCAGAGTTTGGAAAGGCGCTGGTCCGGGACCCTTGGCTACGGGAGCAGGCCAGCGGCGGCTCTGCTCCGATACGGGGGACGAGAAAAACGGCCGGAAAGGAAGATTAAATCATTCGAGCAGACCCCGCTTTGGATAAGGCTTTGCGGCTCGGAGCGTTTCGTTTGGAAACGTTGGCATCAGTTTTAATCCGGGCATTTGTGCTTTCTTACTCCTGTATGCGCGCGCCTGTGCGTTTTCCCTGGTGGTAGCCAAAAAGGGAGGGGAAGGGGCAACGGGAAGTGTCCTTTGATACATCATTTACACTCCTGCCTCCCCAATCAGGCTTATTTGGAAATCGGTCCGACGGACCTGGCTTCCTCAATCAGCCACCGGGGGTTAAAATATCTTTCTCCATTGGGCGTTATAAAGCACCTTTTTCTTCCTTCCCCTTCAATCTCTCCGTCCTTCCTTCCTTCCTTCCCTCCTTTTTTCCCCCTTCAATCTCCTTCCTTCTCCATCTCCTTCCTTTCCCCTTCAGTCTCCTTCCTTCTCCATCTCCTTCCTTTCCCCTTCAATCTTCCTTCCTTCCTTCCATCTCCATCCTTTCCCCTTCAATCTTCCTTTCTTCCATCTCCTTCCTTTCCCCTTCAATCTTCCTTCCTTCCTTCCCCTTCCCTCTCTCCCAACATTTTTGAGCGAGGAAGAGTAAGCTTCTCCAGCGAGCATTGCTATATTGTATTTGTGATTAATCACTATGCTTTAATTATGTTCAATTCGTAGCAATGAAAATACACCCTGTATATCAGATATTTACATTACGATTCATAACAGTAGCAAAATTACAGTTATGAAGTAGCAACGAAAATAATTTTATGGTTGGGGGTCACCACAACATGAGGAACTGTATTAAAGGATCACGGCATTAGGAAGGTTGAGAACCACTGCTCTAAATACTCCAAGGATGGAGTATTTAGATGGCCCTCTGGATCAACGTTCCCCAACCTTTCCGGGTTGGCAGCCTAGTGCGGGGGAAGGGGTGAAGAGGGGATGGTTTTGTGTGAGGGGCATGTGCACACGCACATGCACACACAGCTTCACGAGTGGGCTACGAGTGCCGGCCTGGTAATGGGTTGCGGCCCACAGATTGGGAATCCCTGCTGTAGATGTTTTCTGCATTCAGTCACTCTCATAGCCAATGATTGGGGAGCATAGAATTATAATCTGACAGCATCCAGATAGTTCACATCTTATCTAGAGTACTTTTGCAGAGATTTGGAAGATTTTTCAATTCAGAGGCTGATTTTGAATCCCATGTATCTGCCCTAAATCTTCTATAATAATATAATAGAGAAATGACACGGTAAATCCTTAACACTCTATACCCCACTGCCCTCTTGTGGTCAGTTAGTGAAGTGTCAAAGAGACAGTGCCATTGAATTCATACTCTCCACAAGGCAACTGTCCGGTCCCATGTTTTATGGACAGAAAGCAGTAATTTCAGTAAACTGAGGAAATATTTCCTAAGACTATAGCAAGAGACCCACTAGCTACCTCTTTTTTTTTCAGAGCACATGATGGCATAAGCAGCATTTGGGGGTTCTGTGTTCTACTATCATAAAGAGCTTGCCATATTTTCTAAAACTTGTCAGCTTCATAAGTAGGTTCTGTCATTGCTTGGTAATTTAAGTCTTGGGAACTTGGATAAGAGAAATAAAAGGGAAGCTTTGTAAATTTGTACTGGAAAACATGTCGGTGGATCAATTACTAGAGACAAAATTGAAAATTGAATTCAAAATTCAATTTATGACTTCACCTAAATTTAATATATTATTGCCAAAAGAATTCCGTATGTATGCATGCCAATAATAAACCACCCAAATTTCACCATGAACCTAGGGAAGTGATATATTGTTTTAATCCCATCCAGAGACATTCCATACCTCCATGTAACCTCAAGCTTTCTTCTTTTCAGTGGGGTTATGAGTTAGAACTTAAGTTCTTTTATGGCTTCCGATGTTGATAATTGGGAATCATAAATCATTTTGATCTGCTGCAACTCAATATATCACCATTTGTCTCTAGCCCAGCTCTGCCATTGGCTATTGCCTCTCTCTTGCAGTTCCACAGACAAATGCAGAAACTCCCATTCATTTGTTTCCCTTCCTTCTTCCTCCATCCAGGCATTTATCTCGCCGTGTACAAGTTGGATCCCCAGCCACCATGGTGATCCTGCAGATGCCCATTTTGATTGACACAGGTAATATCCTCACAGACATTCTTCCTGTGTTGCAAATAGGAAATGTTGGCAGCATTGAACTGGGATGGCTGCTGACTGAGGTGTTCTTTTTGTCTGAAATGGACAACTGTTAGAGTGGATCATCTGTCGCAGGAAAACAACGGGAACACCTTCTCTTCAAAAACAAGAAAGTTTCAAACTTCTACTACAATATGTTCTGTTGCATGCTTATATATCCCCCATTCCTATAGATCAGGTGTAGGGCAACCTTGGCTCTTTTATGATTCGTGGACTTCAACTCCCAGAATTCCTGAGCCAGGAATTGAATTGAAGTCCACGAGTCATGAAAGAGCCAAGGTTGCCTATCCCTGCTATGGATCCTGAATAATTCTCATCCATTTTCCATCTTTTTCCAGATGAACCAGACCCTCGTCCTGTCTTTGAAAAAGTCCTCTTAGACTGGGAAGAGGATGCTGAATTATATTCCAAGTTCTTAGACAGAAAGGTAAGTTGTTCAGGGATTAAGGGCAGAATAACACCTGAAGTACGGCTCACAAGATGGCAGACTTCTAAGCTCATGGGATAATTAACTCATTTTGCTTCTGCCTTATCTACAGGTAGTCCTCAACTTACGACCACAGTTGAGCCTAAAATTTCTGTGGCTAAGCAAAAACAGTTAAGTGAGCTTTGTCCCATTTTACAACCTTTCTTTGCCACAGTTGTTAAGTGAATCACTGCAGATGTTGTTAGTAACAGGATTAGCCCGACTCACTTCATGGGGTGCTTGTTTTGGGGAATATAAGAGGAGGAAGGAGTATGATGCATGTTTTTAGCCTTGAGTTCCTTATAAAGTAATAAAGGCACGATAAAAATCCGATAGATAAATAAATGTATGTTAATAGCTGGCTTGTGAGACTGCTACGCCTCTAAGAATTCTGTTGCATTTTTACATCTGGCTTAGTCTAAGATGTCTATAGTTTCCCAATTGAATTTGTGGTCGAACCTGTCAGCATGTTGCGAAATTAAGGCATTTTCCTCATGTCTACTGACTTCCAGATGATGTTTGTGGGTGCATTCTTTCAATTTTCTTCCTGTTTGCCCCACATACCTTAGTAATTTTCACAGATCTTGCATTAATATGTTGTAAATGACTCAAATCTGATGTTTGGCTATTGGTGTGCCACAAAACAACCCCCATCAGTCAAGTTTACTGAACAATTACAGCAACAACCCAATGGCACAGAAAAGAAGTTGGGGAAGGAGTGCTAGAGGCATGATATTCTGCAGTAACCTAGAATTCCAAAAATCTGAAATAGACTATCTATCCATAGAATAGAATAGAATACTGGAAGGGACCTTGGAGGTCTTCTAGTCCAACCCCCTGCTCAAGCAGGAGAACCTATACCAGTGATGGCGAACCTTTTAGAGACCGAATGGCCAAAAACTGCCCCCATCCCCATTCCACCCTGCCCACTGGGCCACCCACCCCCTCCATGGCCCGCCACAGATCACCCAGGCAGCCCAGCAGTGCCATGGTGGCCACGCCCTCCACCTGCAGCATCATCTGTGTGCAATGAGGTGCAAGGGCAGAGTCTTGTCCCCGCTGCCTGGCTATCATGTCCTTGGCTGCGCTGCTTTGCATGGGCCGCACCCGGGGGCAACTCTCCTCCCAGGGGGCTGCTGGTGAGGAGGGGGCCATGGGAGGAGGTGGAACTGGGAAGACAGTGCGTGTGCCCACAGAGAGGGCTCCAAGTGCCACCTCTGGCACGCGTGCCATAGGTTCGCCACCAATGACCTATACCATCTCAGACAAGTGACTGTCTAGTCTCTTCTTAAAAATCTCCAATGATGGAGTACCCATGATTTCTGGAGGCAAGTTATTCCACTGGTTAATTGTTCTTACTGTTAGGAACTTTCTCCTTAATTCCAGGTTGCTTCTCTCTTTGTTCGGTTTCCAACCATTGTTTCTTGGCCTATTTCTGGTGCTTTGGAGAATAATTTGATCCCCAATTCTTTGTGGCAGCCCCTCAAATACTGGAATATTGCTATCATGTCACCCTTGTTTCTTCTTTTCTTTAGACTAGTCAAACCCAAGTCCTGCAGCCGTTCTTCATATGTTTTAGTCTCCAGACCTTTGATCTTCTTAGTTGCTCTTCTCTGAACTTTTTCCAAGGTCTCAACATCCTTTTTGTAGTATGGTGACCAAAATTGATTGCATACTCCAATGCAATGGATATCTAAACAACTTCAACAAAAAATGTGTAACCATACAACCAACAATTACACAAGCTGCACAAACCTATTAATAGGATAACTGCTATATGTCAAAAGCCTCTCTGAAACTATCAGCAAATTGCTGTACCCTCTAGGCATCCTGGGGGTCCATAAACCAACAAAATACATCCAAACTATTCTAAGCAAAAGCAACAGCTATTGAATACAAAGCATTTATAACCTACAGCAGAAAGATAGTAGAAACCACAATTGCAATTGAAAAAAGTTGCCGACATGCTAGGCCAAACTAGATCCAAAAATGCAAGAGAATTCCTAGAAGCATGGCTCTGATGAATCATCCATTAACAGACATTTTGAGATAAGCCTCATCTGCAAATCATTCCAGAAAGGAAGCAACGAAAGGTCAAAGAAAGACTCAAACACACATCCCCCCTCTCCATCACACACCTATTAATCAATACCCAGACAAGAAAGAACAATTGAGGAAGAAACAATGCCCCCAAGACAATTTATCGTATAAACAACCAGCAAGCTCTACTCCTGCATGAACTGATGATGTTTCTAGCCTGGTCACAAAAGTTTGCAAGAGCCAAAGTAAGTTCAGAAAGCACCAAGAACCCAACAATTCAGACCTGAAGTACTTGTATTCCCCATTGTGGCAGGGTGCGATCACTTCTAAATTTTGCAACATTTTTACTTAAAAACAAATGTTGTAGGGATAAGGATAACGAGAGAGAGAGAGAGAGAGAGAGAGAGAGAGAGAGAGAGAGAGAGGGAGGGAGGGAGGGAGGGAGGGAGGGAGGGAGAGAGAGAGAGAGAGAGAGAGAGAGAGAGAGAGAGAGAGAGTCATTTTCCTATGATGCTTCCTGATTTTTGCCCAACAGTGAAGGGGTGGAGGTTTATAGAGAACTATTTCACATTTGGCTTATTTAGTAAATGGAAATCTGACTTGATTGGAACTTGTACTGAATAAAAATGTCAAGGTGTAATCTGGAGGTAATGCTTAAGAGCTACAGTAGTTGAATGTAGAATAAATTAATTATACTTCATTCTCATGAAAACAGTGGGACTATCATAACTAACAAATTCCATTGATTTCAAGTGAATTTACTTTGGCATCCAGTATCACAAATCTCCAGTTAATATATAATCTAGTCCTGGAGGAAAATCCTAGTGAGCATCATAGGGCTGACGAGTGGTGCGGCTATGACCAAAATGCCAATGGGATAGCAACACAAGAAATAAGACTAGAGCATTTATGTTCATACCTATGTTGGAGATGATAACAAGTAACCTGGTGCTCCTGAGATGTTTTGAATGCAGTTGCTAGTACCATGGCCAACAACTGTGAGGCAGATTATGGCTCACACCCAAAATACATAGCCGATGAAGCTATATATCTCTTGAGGCAGGAGAGTTTTAAAAATTTGTGCTGCAGATGTGTGTGTGTGTGTGTGTGTGTGTGAGGGGGGAGAGCAAATGAGCATCTTATTTGGATCCTCATTTACTGCCATTGAAGAGCTATAGCCCTAAAGAGAGAATGGGCTGGTTTGCTTTCGACAGGAAGAGCTACAAGCAAGCCATGCTACCTATGTCCGTCGCCATCCAGAACTCAACACCTTGCTGGCAGATTTCTTGCAGCTGCTGCTCCTTCGCAAGCCTGATGATGTGGTCACCTTTGCTGCTGAATTCTTCGCTCCCTTTTCTGCCCAACAACCGCCGTGCAGATCATTTCAGTCGTCTGACAGGCCCAGCCCCTTTCGCAGCCATGTCTAAAATGACTGTGATAAAAAATAATAAAGATCCAGGGAAGAACTTGGGAATTTGAGAGAGCTGTTTCTTTTTTCTTTTCTTTTTTTAAATTTTTATTTTTCCTTTTTTTCTTTACAAACAAACATAATACACGATACATTTTTCTTTTACCTTAACAATACTATGTCCTATATCTCTTAAGTTTATTTACATTTATTTACATTACTTCTCATACATTTTTATTCCGCAATTCTAGCCAGTTATAATACATGTCCCGTATCTCGTAAAATTCTGTAGCTTCTTTGTCTTTTATTTCTAAGGAAAGTTTGTTCATCTCAGCACAGTCTCATATTTTACATACAATCATTGCATTTGTTGGTGTGTTCTCCCTTTTCCAACATTGCGCATATGCAATGCGTGCTGCAGTTATAAGAGAGAGCTGTTTCTTGAAGCTGTTGGGGTGTCTTGTCTAGAGAGTTCTGTGGCTCCTCTTTTACCACTGTTGTGTTGGACTCCAGGTGTGTATTTGCTTGAGGGAGAGGGGAGGGGGGGTTATGCTGCCCATTCCCAAAGTTTTATTGGTTAATAAAATTCTGATATGATATTCGAGAGAGGAAGCAACGGGATTGGAAATACCTTCTTTATAAGGGAAGAATAAAAGGATTGTATGGTTTTTAGTTGGATTTCTGATTTTCAGACAAAATGACAGGACAGTCCAAATTTCTCAACCTGGTGGCTTCAGGGGAACTGAATGAGGAAGTGGCGCTTCTCCATAAATGTACAGGAGCTCTGTCAGCAGAGGTGGAGGCATGTTCTAGCTGGGAGCTTTGCATATACCTGATGAAAGCATTATGGGCATGAACTGACTGGAAAAACCCCACTCTGTGGCCTTTACAAAAGGAACAGGAAGGTGCCTTTCATAGGCAAAGCTGCTTCCCCCCCCCCCCCACAGAGGCCCCAGGATCAAGCGGCTTTGTCGGTACAGAGCTGACACAGCTAATTCTCCCCACTGGCTTTATTAGAAAATAGCATTTCCAAAAAATAAGGATTCGTGAAAGAGGTAAATTCCTAATAAATCTACCCTCTCCTATCTTTTGCTATAGCTGGGAAGAGGTTGACAGTAAAAGGGCATCCACCGATTGTTGCTTCTCAATTACATTTATGTTTGATTAAATTATGATTGATGTTCCTGGGAGAATGGGAAGGAAGTTTACCAAATTATGGGGGGGGGGAATAGGACGAGGAAAAACAATGGGATTTTCTGGGGAACTCTGTTTTTCTTACAGTGAACGGAAATCAGTTCAGAAAGGATAAAAAGAAACTCCCAAGAGAATTACTTCACAGAGTATATAGCCAATGGAATTAATTGCTATCCAGTTCTCTTGCTCATGTCACTTTAAGAGGGATTGGCTTTTGATCAATGTTTATTACAAGCTCTTTAATTAGAAGTATGACAAAGAAGGGCAATCTTGGCCTACCTTGCAATAACAAATGTACTGTACTGTATTGTGATAAGAACTCATTTTTTCCATCCTGATTGTTTAAAGTGTTTTAGGTATGTTTGTGTGGGGACTGTGTGCAAGGACAGAGTTAGGTGTGTTTCCTACCAGTCATTTGTGGTCAACATAGAGTAAACATTTTGTGCTGTATCTGTGCTTGGTTTTAAGTTTGGTGCTCTGAAGGTGATTTGGTAAAACCTAGATGAGGACAATGCTGCATTGTGAGGCTTGGCTTTGACATACAACAACAAGCACAAAGGAATGATCGACATTTGCAGTCATGGACTTTTCCTCCAATGCCTAAGTTCCCTAAATAATTACTCTCAACTTCAGTTGAAATTTTCTTAATATATTTAATTCTACATCTTGGGCACTGTATGAAATTATGTGGATTAAGACTCACATTTGCATGAATATTAAGATAAAAAAGTTCATCTAGGAGAACACACTCCCTATCATATGCAAGATCTGAAACAAGATTCAGATGAATGCTTGTTAACCATTTTTTTTTTTTTTAGTTTAGGACATCATTCAGACACAGCCCAAGACTGACTTCTGTCTGTCTCTCTCTCTCTCTCTCTCTATCTGTCTCTGTCTCTGTGTTAAGACTATACATGGTTTGAAGAACTGCTTTGGAATTTTCTGTCTTTTTTCAGGCTTTCACTGCTGAATCAGACCAAGGATTTATCTTTGATATCCTATTTCTCATAATGCATTACAAGAAAATGATGGAGAGATTATGAGAAGACAGGAAAATTTCATGCGTTAATTATAATTGATAGTTGTTGACAGCTTAATTTTCCAGGAATATGTTCTGTTACAGCCATCTAACTTGTTTGTTGTGAATTCTGTGATCTTACATGAAGAGGAGCTTTCATTTTGTCTGAATCTTCCACTACTTAGCTTGATACTGGATCCTGTATCTATTTCTCTGTTGACCATAATGCTCAGGATAACTTTTCAATGCATTACACATGCACACCCTTTATTATAAGGGTGTGCATTTGTAATGTATTGAAAAGTTAATGCATTAAAAAACTTTGAAAAAAATGAAATAAAATTAAGTAAAAAAGTGAAAAACCTTTTTTTTAAAGATTTATGCATTTGACAGATGCCATTTTTTTAATATCACTCCCTGAAGTATAGGACATTCTATTAAGAGTCGTTTACTGCTTAACAATTTATTTCCTGCTATAAATCATAACCAAAATGCAGAATTCTGTTTAGAGGAACACCTTGAGCTTTCTGAGAAACACTGTACTCTTAAGAATGACCATGGGATCCTGGTTCTTCAAGGAGCGTGGATTTCTTCCTCAAGGCATGGGAAAGCTTAATTCTTACCTGTTCCAGAAAACAGTTGCCAAGTATAAACCATTTGAAGAGTAAAAGGTAGGGGTTCATGGGAACAAAGAATGCCTAAGAGAAAGATTCAGGTTACGAGTAACAATTTTTCAAGGGAAGGGCCTCTGAAAGGGTTTAAAGTTACAGAATTGCAGGATAATAGATTTGGAAGGCACCTTGGAGGTCTTCTAGTCCAACCCCTTGTTCGAGCAAGAAAACCTATACCATGTCAGAAATGTTGTCCAATCTTTTCTTTAAAAATACTACAACTTCTGGAGGCAAGCTGTTCCACTGATTAATTGTTCTGACTATTAGGAAATTTCTCCTTAATTCTGGATTGGATCTTTCCTTGATTAGTTTCCATCCATTGTTTCTTGTCCCGACTTCAGGTGCTTTGGGGAATAGGTCGACCCCATCTTCCTTGTGGCAGCCCCTGAGATATTGAAACAGTGTTATCATGTAACCTCTAGTCCTTCTTTTCATTAAACTAGACTTACCCAAGTTGATTCTTCATAATCCCAATAGGACTTGATTGTTTTCAGCTCTAGGTCCCAGTTGCTAAAAAATAATATATATACAGTATGTTTCAACTTTTTCATTGCTCCTGGCTTATTCTTGTTTAAGAAATCTTGCTCTTGGAGAGACTCTAGGCTCTTATTAGGATATTTCATCTCTTGTTTGAATTTTATGAAAGAACTTTGGCCTGGCTTCTAATCCTGCTGGGAATTACTGCCTTTCTTTATTACAACATATTGATCTGCTTGTTCAAGAGACAAATGACATCTTGGTCTGACATTTTCTGCTAACTCTATTTCCTTTCCAAGGTCTACATTGTCTTCTATTCCATTTCCATAGCCCACCATTTCTTCAGGTTTTATCCTATGGTCTATAAACAATATGGTTGACTTGCTTTACGACAAACTTTTAAGACATTTCTCATGAATGTTTCAAGATCAGAAACCACCGTTGGCTACAATATCTATTTGAATCTGCTTTTGGTTTCAGAAATGATTGGTTGCTATGAATCATGACTTCCTTCCACCCTCCAGCAAAACTTGCAAGTACAATTTATGTGTGCAAATTCAGAGAACTGTGAAATCATAACATCATAGCCTGATGGCAGGCAGTTAAGTATAGGACTGGCTGGAGCATCAAAAGCATAGGTAGG